GATAGATAGATAGATAGATAGATAGATAGATAGATAGATAGATAGAGACTTTAAATATCTCCCGCATGCCTTCATGATCACGTCCCATTATTCCTTTTAACAGGGGCCTAAAATGTAAAGTGCATCCAATGGAATCTAAGCCCAACTGCAGCTTTTATCACTGGTGTTTCTCGACCTTGGCATCTCCTTGAAATTTATTTATGTATCCTTTCAGAGATCTTAGCAGCTGCAAGATTTGTGGACTTCAAGTCTCAGAATTCCCACCCCCCAGTGTGTTTATTGGGGATCTTTTATTAAACCATGGCTTCATGCACTGCAATTTAGTTGATATGGATGGCACTGAGTAGCAATAGCTGTTATATACCACTTCATGGTGCTTTTACAGCCCTCTCTAAGCCGTTTAGAATCAGCCTCTTGCCCCCAACAATCTGGGTCCTCATTTTACCGACCTCGGAAAGATGGAAGGTTAAGAGGCAACCTCGAGCCTGGTGAAATTCTAGTTGCTATTTGCCACAATAGATGCTGTTTTAGGATCTCTTTTTTGAGCACATAGTCTCTTGAGACTGAAGAATGCCAATTCGAAATGCAATATAATTCCTTTTTAAACTGGGGAAATGTGTTAAGTGGTAGCAAAAATCTAGTCTGAAGTGAAGATTATCACTGTTACATGAGATCATTGTTTTTATTTCCATCTTTAAAAAAAGGTATTGCTAATGATACATAAGTCAGTATTTATGAATAAAAAACATTCGAAGTTGAATCTGCAGTTTTTATTTTTAAAGTAATGCTTTGGATACACGAGTCCCCAAAAGTTCAAAACCAACACGGATGAAAATATACTAACTACCGGTAGTATATTTAAGAAAATAAAATTAGAAATAAATAAGGACTGAAATCAAAATAATCTTTTAATATATAACAAACATTAAATACACTGAGATTACATGACAAAGAAATTCATTCCAAGCTATTGGACCAGGGGTTAATATAATTAGTAGACATGACAGGCTCCAAGACAAAATGTAGTTTTTATTGACATTACATATAAACTCTTCCAAGCCACTTTCACACAAAAAATCAGAATAATATAAATGATTAACAAAACTTCAGTACACAGAATAAGTTGAAAAAAGCGAACATTTTTTAAACTTATATCCCCATTTCTGTTCTAGTGAACATACAGAACACCAAGAAAAAGCCAGGTTAAATATTCACCTTATTAAAAAGATTAAAGGACAAAAAGTCTCCTACAAGATCTTGAAACTGATGCTTGTAAGTGAAAACTGAAACCAGATTTTTTTTACCTAAAACCAGATCAAGTAGTAGTCAAAAAGGCTACCCTTCAAGTACCCTAAAAATTAGGTCATTCATATTAAACTGCCCTTAAAAAAAAATCCAGGAAGTATCCACAGGTGCATTTTAGATGTGAATTTTAAACAAATCCGAATTATTCTCCTCCATCCCAGTTAATTCCTGGCATCAAGAAACCCACCTTTATTATTATTATCTCTTGTATTCATTAAACATGAAACTCAGAACTGAACATTTAAAAATGTATCACAAATATAACTGACTAGCGCTAATGGTTGATATGGGTTGCTGTCAGCAACCTAGGTATCAACTAAGTCTCTTATTAAAATGTACAATGTTCTGAGTAGCAAAGCTTTTTGCAGTTCCCCTGGTGTTATAGCAAGCAACAGCAATTTCTTGATGTATTTTGCAAAATTCTTGGACATGGTACCAAGTGCCCTGATGATGATGGGTATCACTGTTACATGCTTCATCCATGATCCATTATATTACTATTTGACACAAAAAACAACAGTGTACACAGCAAACGAGGTAACTATGCTGGGTTTCGTATCACAAATCACTAGTCGAACACTTCCCAAGCATTGAGGACTACGTGATGTATCAGCGGATTATGCGAGCAGATCCCAGTAAGGTGGCCTTCTGCAACTGACAAATGGTGATTTTGTCAGCCCCAATTGTTTACAAGTGCTTGCCTAGGTCTTTAGGCACAGCACCCAGTGTGCCAAGTACCACTGGAACCACCTGCACTGGTTTATGCCAGAGTCTCTGCAGTTCAGTTTTCAAGTTTTGATATCTGGTGATTTTCTCAAGTTGTTTCTCATTGTTTCTGCTGTCACCAGGTATGGCAATGTCGACGATCCACACTTTTTTCTTCTCCACAATCGTGATATACAGGGTATTGTTCCAAAAATATTATATTTTACACAAAAAACAGTGTACACAGCAAAGAAGATAACTATGCTGGGTTTTGAAAATCGAACTGCAGAGACTCTGGCATAAACCAGTGCAGGTAGTTCCAATGGTACTGAGCACACTCGGTGCTGTGCCTAGACTTAGGCAAGTACTTGACAACAATTGGCGCTGACAAGATCACCATTGGTCAGCTGCAGGCCACCTTACTAGGATCTGCTTGCATAATCCGCCAATACATCACGCAGTCCTAAGCACTTGGGAAGTGTTTGACTAGTGATTTGTGATAAAAAAAAATATTATTGTTGTTATTATCTTTTATTCATTAAACATGAAACTCAGCCAACTGAATATTTAAAAATGTATCACAAATATTACTGACTGCCTCTGATGGTTGATAGAGGTTGATGCCAGCATCCTAGGTATTAAATTATATTATAAATTTTTATTCATTAAACATAAAACTCAAGACAACTGAACATTTAAAAATGTATCACAAACATTATTATATTATTATTCCTGTTCTTCCAAATGGAGTTTAAGTTTCCACGAGGTAGAAATGGGGAAGCACCTAGTTGCAGCTCGAGGCCCGGCCACCGATTTCACCGCCCGCCCAGGGACGCCCTTCCGAGGCTGATTGATTTCCACGCACCCACCCCTTCCTCCTCGCTTCCGAAAGGCAGAGCCTGGGCCAAGGGAGTCCGGCGTCCCCTGGAAGAGAAAGGCGAGCGCGACCCCAACGGGCCAAACCCACGAGAGCCTGGAGGCGGGGACCAAAGCCTTCCCCTCCCCGTTTCCTCAGTCCCTTCCCGGCTGGGAAAGAAAAGGACGGCGGACCCGCCTCTCTCCATCTTCGCCGGGCAGGAAGGGAAGGAAGGGGTAGCTGCTCTCCCACTCCGCTTCCGCTCTTCGTCACGTGGGAGGCACCCCCAGCTACGGAAGCCAACGAGGCTCAATCCCGAAGGGGTTAGATTTCGCCCCCCTCCCTCCCGGCATCTGGATTACGCCGAGGGAAAGGAAGGCGAGGAAGCGCCGCTACGGGTGCCGGCGAGGCCTCGGGGGTCTCTGCCAGGCGAGGAGAGAACGTGGATGCCCCCGCCTCCTTTCGGCGTCCGAGAGCGGCCGTCGAAAAGAGGCGACCCCGTCGGCCCCGCGAGCGCCGCTCGGCGCGCCATGGCCGGCCGCTCGAGGAACCCGCCGCTTCAGCAGCCGCCCGGCGATACAATCACTTCCGGTAGGGCAGAGGGCAGAGGGGAAGTGGGTGCCAGGGAGCGGGGTGAGGCGGAGGGGGGGAGGGAAAGGAAACCGCGGGCGGACCTGAGGGGGCGTCGGGGGGAGGGCGGGAAAAAGGGAAAGGGGCGGAAAACCGGTCCCGCGCGTCTCCCCGCCGGCTTCCACCCCTCCCAAGCGCGGTGGCGACGGCGTCTTTCAACCCCTGCCTGCCGCCAGTGGCGGCGGCGGCGGCGGCGGTGCTACTTCCGGACGGCTCGCCTCCCGGCATGCCGCGCGGCCGGAAGTGCCGCCATCTTTAGGCCCCTTGCTTTGCTTCTTTTTTTTTTTTTCTTCTCTTCCTTCCTTCCTTCCCTCCCCTTTTCCCTTCTTCCCAGCATTGACAATAACAAGCGGAGCTACTCGCCCGCCGGCCGCCCTCCTTCCCCCTCTTGCGGGCCGCGAAAGAGGCGGGGAAGGGGGAAGCGAAGCCCCGAAACCCCCCCCCCCCCGAAAGCGAGAGCCAAGAGGGGCGGCCTCAGGGCGGGAGAGCGTGAGAGAGACCGGACCCCCCTCTCTCCGCCTCCTCTGCCCGTCTGAGGAAAAAGGGGCAGAGTTAGCGGGGTAGGGAAAAGGAAGGGACCAGGCCCGTCGACAGAAGCCAGAGCCAGAGGGGAATATTCCTCCCCCCCACCCCTCCCGAAAGGCGAAGGGGAAAGAGAGAAGGGGGGGCTTCTTCCCTCCCAGAAGAGAGGAGGAAAATATAAAAGGGGGGGTCGAGGAAGAAGAAAGAGGAGGCCTCGCCCGTCGTCGTCCCTTTGGGCTTCGTCTCCCCCCCCCCACTCCAGGCGACCTTCGGTGACACCATCTCAAGCTCCCGCCCCTCTCTGCGTGCCTGTCACACCAGGAGGATTTGATGCCCTTCAGCCTGCTCACCTCTGTGGTGTTCATGTTTCCCACAGGTTTCTCTTCCCCCAACCCCCCAGCAGCAGCGGCAGCTCAGGAGGTCAGACCTGCCACGGATGGTAGCAGCAGCTCTTCCTCCTCCTCTTCCTCCTCCTCTTCTACCACCAAGAAGAGAAAGTTGAACAGCAGCAGCAACAGCGGCGAGAGAGAAGACATCGTCGACTCCATCTCCTCCTCCTGTTCGTCCCTCCTGTCTCGAAACAGCGGTCCTTCCTTGCCCGGTCTCCTTATCACCGCCTCCACGGCCTCCTGTTCTTCCTCCTCCTCCTCTTCCTCAGGGCTTGCTTCTTCCAACCACCACCTGCAGAAGAAGCTGCGTTTCGAGGACTCCTTGGATTTTATCGGACTGGATGTGAAGATGGCCGAAGAGTCGTCCTCTTCCTCGTCCGCCTCGTCGCCGGCTGCGTCTTCGCAGCACCAGCAGCACCAGCAGCTCAAAAACAAAAGCCTCTTAATCTCCTCAGTAGCAGTGGGACACCACGCCAACGGCCTGACCAAAGCTGCCTCCTCCACTGTCTCCAGTTTTGCAAACAGCAAACCTGGGTCAGCCAAGAAGTTAGTGATCAAGAACTTTAAAGGTAACCGGCTGCTGTCGCACGTAATCTCTTTAACGTCTAATATCTGAAGGGGAAACCGCAGCATAAGGCGCATGTTTCACCGTAGCTCTTGCCACAGGATTTATTCCTCTACTATACAGCTGTATTGTTCCCAAAGGTAGCTGGTTTTCTGCCTACATGCAAAACCAACTAGCTTTTTATAAGAAAGGAAAACATCTTCAGATGTTATACTTAATCATTGTTTGAGGAAATGTTATTGTAGCCCTTTTGTTGAACCCCCATGACTTCTGTTGAGTCCCTGCGATCCATTGAGGAAGGAATTAGTCTCCCTTTATTTGTACACCCTGGATAGGAATTCTATGTCTTTTTTTTTGTTCTGCATTTGGAGAATATGGCAAAATCTTTTTAAAGGAGATAGATGGATATATGTATTTTAAATATAAATAGATATTAATGGCAACTTGAAGAAACTGCTTACTTAGGTGCACACTTCCCAAATATTTCTTACAGGCAAATGGAAATTGTCCCTGCATGCTTTGTCAAATTCATATACATGAATCTGTGCAGTAGAGTTTTAGTTTGTATTAGAGCAGAATGGTACAAAACAATATGCTGCTTAACTATGTTTTCCCTTTCTACAATCAGCTTGCTTGCTTACAGTCAGTTTGGGTTTCTTATAGTAGTTAATCAGGCAGATGTTCAAACTGCATTTGGCATTTTTATCTACCTATCACGCCCTTCCTAAGGACCTGGGATAACCAGATGTGATTTAATAATATGAAAGGTATCCTCATAGGATGTAAGATGTGTTCTGAATAAAGCTGCCTTTTGCAATTGACTGGTGGTGATTTTGTCAATGCTGATGTTCAAGTGGTGCTCCAGTTGTTTTGGGATTACACCCAAGGTGCCTATTACTTTTGATACTACCTCCCCCCCCCCTTTTTTCACAGTCTTCTGTTTCCATTTGCAGCTCTCTCTTTTTTTTTTTTTTGTCTTCTGTATTATTATGTACTTTTGAGTCACATTTTGATTCTTGGTAACTGGACCAGTTTCAATTTCGTCAATTTTCTTGATAAGGTTTTTCAGAATTGATTTGCCATTGCTTACTTCCTAGGGATGAGAAGAGAGTGACTGGCCCAGGGTCATCCAGCTGGCTTTGTGCCTAAGCAGTCATCCAAACCAGTGGAGGAAAAAAAAGCAAGGGATTCTTTAAATGGCCTTCTGCAACAACTTGCCCCAACTGATCTGAAAAATCTTCTAGAATTGATTGGGAGTGCAGAGGATTTGATGTTCATTTTAAGTCAAGTTGAAACTAGATTATCCTGGCATAATTTTGAAATAATGGATACAATAACACGTGGATATTCTGGTCCTCTAAGGTTGAGACAAACAAGCACCTTTAGATTCTTTGGTAATTTCCTATGGCTGTGAAGTTGAAGAGAAAAGAGTTAGGGTACTTCTATGCATAATGTAGGAGAAAATTATTTGTAAGATATTTAAACATGCTTTTCTTAATCAAAAGATACTACAATTGTACATTATGTGTAATAAACTGACATTTTAAATGTTGCTCATACATTGTATGCTTATCTAGTTTTTGGTTCTAAGAAGAATGATAGCGGTGTTTTGTAATTCTGTTTCAGGGAATAAATGCATCATATCATTCTGGCTGTCTCTGTTAAATAACATCTTATCTATTAACAAATGACTCAGACATGCCTTAGTTTTGTAATTTTAGCCAAAGAAATAACAGTGAACTTTTTATATGAAAACTTTAAGCTATATAGATCAATTTCTGTCTTTTTAGACAATTTGTACATTTCCTTGTTTTCACTTGATAAGGATAATTTTAGCATATAATTCATTTCATACTATAGATCAATATTATGCTGTTTGCTTGTTTCTTTTTGGTTTATGTAATCTAAAATTATACATCATGTACTGCCTGTCATTGAAAGCCAAGATAATCAGCTGTCCCTAGTTGATTTTATCTTATTTTTAGCTGGTACAAAATAACAAGAAAAAGTTGTGGTTTTAAAGCTGAACAAATTAGGTACATAAGGGATTCCGAAATGGATCTGAGAGATTGTGACAATGCATAAGGAAGAAATATCCAAATAGATAGCATTCTTCTTCAGTTTGCATTAAAAAATTGAATCAAAATCAGTATTCTGTGCTAATATACTGATGTATCCTAAGAAACCTTACTGACTTGTTCAGGGCCAAATCTCCAAAATTACAGAGCAAAAATTGGTATTCCTTTTTGTCTGTAGATATAAAAAATATTTCTTTCTGGTTTATGAGGTTGTCCCCCCAAAAAATTATTGAAGTTACTGTTGGGAAGCGCAAGCACCATACCAAATCAGTTTTCTGTGATGTTAAATGACAGTAACATTTGCTGTAAAGAACTGTGTCTTCTTCCAGACAAACCTAAACTGCCTGAAAATTATACGGATGAAACCTGGCAAAAACTGAAAGAAGCTGTAGAAGCGATTCAGAACAGTACTTCAATTAAGTACAACTTAGAAGAACTTTACCAGGTAAGCCTTTGTGGATGTACTTTCAATCCACTGGTAGACTTTGCAACAGTTCCAAGGATTTTCTCCACTTTCTAGGATGTGGTTGAGATCCCATCTTCACATTCTAGATGAGATGCCGTCTCAGTTAGACAGATGACAAAATTAACAAGAACATCTTCACAATGAGCTGATCTTCAGGCTTTCTCACTGTAGAAATTGTACAATATCAGTTTGTTTTTTGTGAAGTGTCTCTTGACTGTGCACGTGCTAGCCTGGGCCACAATTTGCTCTGCTAGATACAGGACAGAATTCTCTATTTGGGGATGATTGAAGCCCCCTTCTGGGTAATGCCGATTTGCTTTAGTTATTTTCCAGTTTGTGCCATTTTTTTTTTGTTCTTTCTTTTTATCATGGCATTCTTTTGCTCTGTGTATTTTTATGTGAAGCACTCAGACTTCTAGGGAATTGGGTGTCTTGAAATTTTAATAAATAAAATCCACCAGTAAAAGTTCCGTTATCAACTAGTTCCAAACAAATCAAACACCTGCATTCCTTTCATTGAAAAAAGGCAAAGAAAGTAAGTACACAACAGACTCTCCAAATTGATTTTTTCCTAGGAAAATTAAGCCTTTTTGACTATTTGAAAATCAGAGAACAAGGTTAAAATATTTCAGGCTCTGCCCTCAGTACACGTCTGATATCTTATTAGCTTTGTTAAGTACAAGAACCAAAAACAAATCAGTTTTGTTATAAAAAGTGCTGGCTTATTATAAAAATATTTTTAGTTACTGTGTAGTTTAAATATTAAAACATTGATGTGTACATTTCCATGTTCCATTTAAATTCCATTTAATGTTCATGGTAATAAATATTTTACTGCCTGAAAAATTATGGCAATCCTCTATTTTAAAAACTTAAACTGTTTAAGTATCAAATTATAGATACATTTCATGGATATTTAACAGGTTCATTCTCTTCATTCTTCATGATTTAAGTATCAGTTCTTTTTTCCATGTGTTGATTTTACTGATTGTCGTTGGTTTAAAGTTCGGTACTAGTATAATATTATGAAAAAAATGGTAGATAATTTTAGTTTAGATCTACTAGTTAAACTGAGAATTAAATACGGCATTTAACTGAAGATTTGGTAAATCACTGGCATTTAGTAGGTATATGGCAAGCCTTATTGGTATATCCCGAAGAATCTCTGCAGTCGGTTTAACATACCTTAAAAACCCACTAAGACTTTGCTTAAGTCTTCATAATATGATTATGCATGCTTCTATAAATTGACCTCAATCTTGTTCTGTTTATATCTTCCCTGTTAGTTTTATTTTCCAAGGGTATCAGGTGCAGATTTTTGGTGTTAAAAGGTTTATTTGGCAGGACATTGACAGTGTGTTCCCAACCCACCAGGATCATTGTGTAACTGGGGTTTTAGATCTGGAAAACTACTGATTACTTCAAATAGATGCATCATTTCCTTAGACCAGAAAACTCTTGATTTTTTTTTAATATGAAGCACAACTATTTTAAAAAGGATTGCATTGGAGGGTTTTTAAGTTGAATATGTTAGTATTTTTTAAAAAAAGTGATTGACATTTTATAAGAACATTAAATGGTATGACCCTTGTGTTCACTGTCGTGTGATCTAAAGGCAGAAAGTACAGCTTGTTAACATTCATCTTGTGAACCTCACAGCAATCCCCAGAGCATGTTGAACCAAAATTGGACCAGTTTGTGGGTAATGGATTAAAAAGTGGACTTTGCAGATCTGGGAGGCATTTTTTTCATAGCTGAGTCTTGCCAGTTTACATGCCAGTTTTGAAAGTGCAACCTTTGACAAGCCATATGTTGCTTGAACCCTATTAAGGGAGGCATTCAGTTTATCAAGAAAAGCATCTTAACTATTAAAACAACCTTTTAGTGTTTCTAATTGAGGTGACTTAATGTGTTTGAAGGGAGTGAAGTAAACTATATTTGCTCTATCTCTGTTTTGTTCAGGTTCTCTCTCTCTGTGTGTGTGTGTGTGTGAAGGAGAGCGCAAGCGCACCATTACACACAATCATATGAAATTCTGTCAAGGCCTTAGCAGACCCCTCTGATTTAGTATGTATTCAGAGCTATATTTTGGAAGGCAAAGCAGCTGCATTTTCTGTGGACATGATTTGTCTGGGTCTATTTTTAATACCTTGAGTTAAAAATAGTCATATGTTTGCTGGTAACTAAAGACTAAATAAAACCATGCTCTCTAAGACCAGCAGAACTGGTAAATGGATCTACCTCTAGCTATGCTTTTTTAAAGTACCATTATCTAAGTCATGGCAAGATTTAGGTCTCTCTCTCTTTCTCTCTCTCTCTCTCTCTCACACACACACACACTCACACACACACACACAAACATCAAAGAATTGAGACACACCTGTTGTGAGAACCCAATACGTTTCTTGACACATTGCTTCCTCTGCTGGCAAAATAAACAAATGTAAAATTAACATCTTTGCAGCCATTCCTGCTATGGGGGTTATCCGTAAAGTGGTAGGTTGGTCTGAAATAACCTTGTTATGAGTCTAGCATAGTGATCCTTCTTTCCTTTCCGTTTCTTTGCTCTTGAAGTTAGCGCTCTGTGGCTTCAGAGAGTAGAACAATCATTTCATGGACTGTCTCTTCTAAATCTTGATATTTGAGTTCTCGTTTTTTTAGGAAGCCTGCGCTTGCTTTTACACCACATGGCATGACAAACAGAAATTGCATTTTCCGTTGCTAATGTGTTAGGCCAAATAAGGAGGAGAGTAATAGTGGTAATTCTTGTATTTTCTTTCTCTCCTTTTTTTTTTAAGGCTGTTGAAAATCTTTGCTCCTACAAAATTTCTGCAAATTTGTACAAGCAATTAAGGCAGATTTGTGAAGACCATATCAAAGCACAGATTCATCAGTTCAGAGAATATCCTTTATAATAATGTCATATAAATGGAAAGCATGTCGGGGCCTTGTTAACCGTTTTAGCAATTCTCGTGAATTAAGAAATGTGGCACTTGTTTTGGTAGCTACGAAATACCTTAAAATATTCCAGCAGAAGAGAAATGTATGTTATCTGCCAACTAATTGGTTTAATCATTAAACTGAATATAAGCACATTCTTACTGGCACTTGCCATGTGTACGTGGGTATTCACATTTAACCTTTGGGAACTGAATATTAAACTACTAAGTAAACTTCCACTAAAGGGGTATCAATGACAATGTTTTCAAAAATATTCTTAACTGCTTCCTCAAGGATTCGTTGGACAGTGTTCTTTTTCTTAAGAAAATAGACAAATGTTGGCAAGACCACTGCAGACAGATGGTAAGTCTCCTTTGTTTTCTAAATGTTTCTAAAAGCTTGGAACTATAGATGTTTATCTTCTGTGGCATTTGAAAACTTTCCCTGGAGGAACTTTGTCTACCTGAGCTTGCACCGAAGGAGTAGATCAGGATGTCCAACCTTGGCCACTTTAAGAGTTGTGGACTTCCAACTCCCAGAATGACTTGACTAGGGGATTCTGGGAGTGGAAGTCCACAACTCCTTAAAAGTTGCCAAGGTTGGACACCCCTGGATTAAGATGGTGCCTCAGGAGAAGACAGTTGGACATTCATGGACAGTTTAACTGATCTTTTCATATTGTTGACTATGTCAAAAAAAAAAGATTCTAGTAATTTGTATTTAGCAACAATTTGGTTGGGGTCATATTGAGGGGAATTTAAGAATTGGATTCAGATTTATCTCTACTGTATCAGTTCTTTCTGTTGAAAGTTAGCCGATAGCAGGAAGCTTCTAGAAGGTTTTTTTTTTCTGGGGACAGGAAATAGGAGAATACGTATTGGGAATACCTTTCACCCTCCTGAAATATTTATCTATGGGGCCATTAAAAAAAATCTGTGCCACTGATCATAAAGAATTATAAGAAACAAGATCAGTCTCTAAATTCTTTGTGAAGTGTTTGACACAACGGCAGTCAATAAGCACGGATATCTGAAAGTAATTTTCCTTTGATTAAGTGCCTCTCCCTTCCAAATTAATGTATCTAGATGAAGGCAGTTGAATGATTTTACGTTCTTTTCATCCAATAAATATACAGTAGGCCTTAAAATCGGTCAACACGTGACACCATGTTTTTTTTCTTTCTCTCATTCTTTCTTGCAGATAATGATTAGGAGTATCTTTTTGTTCCTGGATCGAACTTACGTTCTCCAAAATTCAATGCTGCCATCAATTTGGTGAGGGAAGAAAAATAGTAGTATTGATTTCCCGCTTTCGAAAGCTTTGTCATTGATTCATCATTTTTCTCACCTTCTGTCCTGATGGAACGATGGCCCGTCCACAGTGGATAGAGAACCTTGGAACAAAACCAAGAAAATGTGTTCCCTTTCCCTTTGTATATCTCACCCTGCCCAAATCTTTATTAAAATGTGTGGGGTTTTGCGTTGTATTCAAAAGCCAGTTCAAATAAATAGCAAACTCTTTGAAAATATGTCGTATGAATGAGAGAGAGACATGATGGCTAGAATGTTGCTTGGATCTAACCTGTAATGTTTGAGTTGGGTTACTGGCTTCCCTAAGTTACAAATCTTTATGGTTATAAGATACAGTTTATAAATAAGAAGATACTGCCAACCCAACTAATTCTTCATTAGAGGCCGTACTCAACTTTACGACCACAATTGAGCCAAAAACTTTTGTTACTAAGCGAGATGTTTGCTATGAGATGTTTGCAAAGTGGGTTTTGCCCCATTTTATGACTGTTCTTGCCATAGTGACAGTGAATCACTGCTATTGTTAAGTTAGGATCACGGTGGCTAAGTGAACATTCCCCATTGATTTTGCTTGTCAGAAGGTCGCAAATAGGGGATCACATGACCCCAGGACCCTTTACCATCATAAATAGGAATCGGTTGCCAAGCACCTGGATTTTGGTCACATGAACGGGGATGGTGCAACAGTCGTGAGTGTGAAAAATGGTCGTAAGTCGCTTTTTTTCAGGGCTGTTGTAACTTCAAAATGGACACTAAACGAAAGGCTGTAATTTAAGGACCACATGTAATTGATTAAATCATGACTGGAGATTATCCGTCATCCAGGTCATGGTCCCAAAAGTGCTTTTTTTTTCCAAGAGGAAACTGGACTTTCTGGTTTTGTTTTTTTTCCTTTGAAGACATTTCGCTTCTCATCCCAGAAGCTTCTTCAGCTCTGAGAACAGAAGAAGCTTCTGAGAGAAGCTGAAGAAGCTTCTGGGATGAGAAGCGAAACCTCTTCAAAGAAAAAACAAGAAAGTCCAAGTTGCCTCTTGGAAAAAAAAAAAAAAAGCACCTTTGGGTTTAAATGCCTTACCGAAACCAACAAACCTAACAACTGATTCTTACATTCTTTTTCTTTTTTTTTTCTTCCACCCTTTCAGGGATATGGGGCTGGAATTGTTTAGGACTCATATAATTAGTGATCAGAAAGTCCAGAACAAAACCATTGATGGCATTCTTCTCTTGATCGAGAGGGAAAGAAACGGAGAGGCTATTGACAGGAGTCTACTCCGTAGCCTCCTAAGCATGCTTTCAGACTTGCAAGTAAGAGCCGTCTTTCGGGGTAAATCTGCCTAAAAATTGAGCTGCTGGAGCCTTCTGAAAGTAATTCTCTTACTACTCTTCCCTTCAGATTTATCAGGATTCTTTTGAGCACAGATTCTTGGAAGAAACAAACCGTCTCTATGCTGCAGAAGGACAGCGGCTTATGCAAGAAAGAGAGGTATTTTATTGATAATTTCCAAAGCACCAGTTTTTCTAATTCCTCCTTTTTGTGAGCAGATTTCCCTCTTATCCACCCCCTCCAAAGAAACCATCCATTGCCTTGTTATGATTTTCTCCATAACTGATTCAATCTTCCAGGTCCCTGAATATCTTCACCATGTCAATAAACGCTTGGAAGAAGAGGCAGACAGGATTATAACGTACCTGGATCAAAGCACTCAGTAAGTCTTCAGCCTCTCTTGATACGCTGTCTAAAAAAACTGTCAGGAGTGATTTCTCCTTCAGCCATTGCTTTTTGCTAGCATGGAATTATGAGCTTTCTTTTTTTTTTTTTTTGGTCTTTTACATGTCTTTCCTCTCTTTTAAGTTCCAGGAGGCAAAACCCTATTTATTTTTGCTTCTCTTCCCCGCCCTAAAGCACCCTGTAATATCAGTAGTCTTGATAATCGGGGGGGCTCCTTTGCAGATGTTCTATGTGGAAAAATTGTGTGTGAAACTGACCTCTCGTTGTCACTTTGGTGTATGTTCGGTTGCAGAGTCTAAAGAAAGTGAATAATGGCATATCCATTCAGTGGGTTTTCATTTCAGATCATTTTCTGCCTACCTAAAGAAGGCAAGAAAGATGAAAGGAAATGCAAAATAGCTTTTACCCAGTGGTGGGATTCAGATTTTTTTTACTACCGGTCTGTGGGCGTGGCTTGGTGGGCGTGGTAGGGGAAGGTTACTGCAAAATCCCCGTTCCCTCCCCACCCCACTAACCTGCTTTCCAGCTCTGTTCTCCTGCGCAGGGCAACCAAAGAAGACTCAGCCGATCAGCTGGGACTTAATGGGAGGCAGAGAATAGATGGGGGTGGGGCCAGTCAGAGCTGGTATTTGCCGGTCCGCTGAATTACTCAAAATTTTCTCTACCGGTTCTCCAGAACCTGTTGAATACCACCTCTGCTTTTACCCCCCAAAATATATATATATAGGACAGACCACCGTAATGTTGTTGGAGAAGGTTGATGCTTAAACTGGGATAATTCTTGGTGTTCTGCTTAGACAAATAATTTGAACGGTTAAAGAGTGAGCAAAAAGGATTGTAATTCTAAACTCTTTCTCCTGTAGGAAACCACTAATCGCCACTGTAGAAAAACAGTTGCTAGGTGAACATTTAACATCCATTCTGCAGAAAGGTAACCCATCTATCTTTTTAGAAATCTTTTGTTTACTGCTTCTTCGGGGCTTTGGGTTCCCTGAGCTGGGTGGAAATGAGCCAATCGGGTGATGATTCTCTCTCTCTCTCTCTCTCTCTCTCTCTCTCTCTCTCTCACACACACACACACACACACACACATACACACACACACACACACACACACACACACACACTTGTTTCCACATCCCATGATATCATATTCCAGACAGGCCTGCAGGTCCCATTCTCCTTATGGGAGGAAAGGAACCACAGGAATGCCGTTGGTTGCACTTTGCAATACACACTAATGGAAATTGAGAAATGCTGAAAGCAAAGTGGATTTTTTAAGTCCTTTCTAACATTATAGAATATTAAAAGTCTTCAATATGCTCTATCTAACCATGGTGTTAAATTGTTTAAAACTCTACTTTTTAAATATACTTCCTCCAAGAAAATCATGGAGGCATAAATAGTCCCCCTCTCACATTGTTATTTTCTCCATTTCATTCTATTTTAATGGAACTGTAATCACTTAAAAATAAACATGTCTTGAGATTTTTGTGTTTTAGTTGACAAATGCTTTGATTCCAAAATGGCTTTGGGGGGGGAAATGTTTTCTTGTTCTCACATAGAAAAACTTAATTTTGAAATACTTTTGTCTCCATCAGCCTGCCTTAACTTGGAATCACTGTGCCTTCATTTTTTAGGTTTAAATCATCTCCTGGATGAAAATAGAATTCAAGATTTGTCACTACTCTATCAGTTGTTTAGTAGAGTCAAAAATGGAGTGCAATCTCTTTTGCAACAATGGATTGAATACATAAAGGTAATTGTGCCTGGCTAGTTTAAATTAAGTCGCAGGAATACATTTTAAATCTGTTAAAGAAAAATACTTGCATGGTAATAAATATAGAGGTCAAAGAAAATTGCATATGTATATATTTTTATCTCGCATAGCACATAACGTCCATAAATCGTGGAATTTTAAAGTTTGTTGGCCTTTTGAAATAATCTAGCTTGTACTGATTCCTCCAAGGAATTTTGAAACTTGAGTGGGAAGCTTTTATTTCTGTTGAATCGTTTGGATTTTGTTCCCAAGTGGAGCATTTTCCTTGCTTGTGTTTTCAGAAAATCTTGTTGCATTCAGGAAGCATTTCTACCCAAGTACAAAAGGGTTCTGTAAACAGCATTTATATGCTAGCATATAAATAGGCGTTGTTACTTGATTTTCTAATTTCCTTGGTGGGTTTTTATTAACTTGCTATTGGTTTTATCATATTTTATCTATATCTTAAATTAGTGTATTCTATTCCAATTCCATTTTAGACTGTATTTTACTCCAATGTCATTTTAAATCGCATTTTATCCAATTCCATTTTAAATTGCTTTTATCAAAGTTTAGGACTAATTTGTTTCTGGAACTCTGTACTTCAATATGGCCCAAGGGCCAATCAATCAATCAATAAAGAATATTAACTGGCTATCAATTATATTAGGAACAAATACTCTGTGATGTTCTTTGTGTTCCTCTTAGGCATTTGGTAGCACCATTGTCATTAACCCAGAAAAGGACAAAACCATGGTCCAGGAGCTGCTGGATTTCAAGGATAAAGTGGATCACATTATCGACATCTGCTTCTTGAAAAATGAGAAGTTTGTCAACGCCATGAAAGAAGCTTTTGAAACCTTCATCAACAAAAGACCCAATAAACCGGCTGAACTCATAGGTACAGCATCATTCCTTCAGGAGCTGCCAAATAGGACGCTAAAATGGATTTATAACTCAAAATCCCTGGGGGAGGGTGTGTGTTCAGGGGTAGAGAATTTCCCAGCTTCTGTATTCTTGATGCCCTTTTCTTCAAAAAAAAGATGGAAAAAAATATGAGCCTAAATACAAGCTGTCCTCGTCGTACGGCCCCCAAACATAACCCCAAATTTCTGTTGCTAAGTGAGACCCTTGTTATGTGAATTTTGGCCCCGTTTTAAGCATCTTTTGTGCCACAGTTTTTAAGCAAATCACGGCAGCTGTAAGTTAGTAACAACAGGTTGTTAAGTGAATATGGCTTCCCCGTGGACATTGCTTGTCAGAAGGTCATAAAATGGAACCACTGCAACCGTCACAAATATGAGTCAGTTGCCAAGCCTCTGAATTTTGATCCTCTGGCCATACGGATGATGCAACGGTCATAAGTCATAATGGTCCCCTATATCATTTTTTTCCCGCACCATTGTAACTTTTGAACAGTCGCTAAACAGACTGTTGTAAGTAGAGGACTACCTGTAAGGGATTTCACTTAACAGTTAGGGAGGAGGGCAAAGGCTTTTGCGAGCACTGAAGTAATTTGATATGAGTAGGGGTGTCTCTTGTGCAAAAATTAAGGCCAGTCTTCCGTGGTTTGGGGGAGAAAAAGATATGGGAGGTGATGCTTAGTCAAATAAAACTTTTTGAGCACTGTAGTTGTGACAAAAGTGGTAGGGAATTGATGGTGTTTAGCAGTTATAGTTGAAGAGAACTTCAGGAGCAGAAAAGGAAGACATTTCAGGCTTCAGGTTGCATTCTGTCATGCCCCTGTTAGAATTTGACTCCAAGGGAGAGGAGGAACAGCCGACAGGGAGTAGTGGGAGTGTGGCTCCGGAGGTTGTGGAGGAAACTGGGGAAAGGCACAGGCCGGCTGGGCATTCAGAGGAAGACCCAGGCCCATCCCCTCTTCATCCTAGGGCACTCGGGGAGGAGCGGATAAGGGAGAAACGTGAATGGCATGGTCTACGAGGGAGGAAAGGGCCCTGATCCCCTTCATGGGCTGCAGCTGTGAGGACTGTTTAAAAGGACAAACTGCACATGGGCCAGTGCTGGAAGCAAAGCGTCATAATATTTCTAGTCTGTCATTTCTTATCTGAGTTCTGGCATCCTTCCCAGTGTGTGTATTTCGATATCTGTGGACATCTTCCAGCCCTTATCCTGCCTTGTCTCATTAATTGCTTCAGTGTGGTTTGTGTTGTTTTTTCTATCTATAATTTATATGTGTTTTGAGTTTGCACGGACTTTCTTCCTTTTCGCAACTGTTTGTGAGGGAGTTTTTTCTCCAGTCAATGATAATTGGACCTTTGAAGCCAAGTTGAAGGAATTAAAGGGACTTCACCTGTTTTTGTGACTTTGTTGCTTTTGTATCCTACCCTGGGTCATCAACACATTCCCTGCTTCCCCCACGCATCCCTGGCCTAAGCCTAAAAGAATTGGGGTTTAAGTAGGATAAATGATTCTCAGGTGAACAAGAAATTGTTCTTGGACCAAGATTAGTACCTTCCTCTGATCTTGAATAAATATTTGGATCCATTATTCAAATCTGTACCATTATTTGTTTGTTTGTTTTTTCCCTTCCTCCTCCTCAGCTAAATACGTAGATTCAAAACTTCGTGCAGGCAACAAAGAAGCTACCGATGAGGAGCTTGAAAAAATGCTGGATAAAATAATGATCATATTTAGATTCATCTATGGTAAGAGCTGGGCTTTGTTTTTACGTTAGCCAGCCATTGCTTGTGGCCAGATTTTAGGTATCGCGCACAAAATTATACATACTATCATCTTACCTGTAAATGATTTTTTTTTTAGTTTTAATCGTAACGTAACACCTACAAAAACTGCTTTAATCTTAATGTAAACCGCTTTAGACTTGATTGTAAAAACTTTGATTTTTGAAAGTGTTGTCAAAAGTCTGGAATATCTTAACCGATTCCGTTGTTGTCTCAGCTACTAACTTTCACCGTTTTAATTCCAACTTAACTTCTGTGGACCTCAACCCATATTGAAGAGGCTCCTAAGGGGGCATGCATGTGTCCTAACCTGTGTATCATCCCTGGCACATTTTAGTTTTTCTCATTTTGTTCGTTCAAATTTGTAATTTTTGTTTGACAGGTTTTTAAAAAATTGAAAAAAAATAACGGTTAAGCCCAACCCTTCCCCATTTCTCAAAGCAAATTGGGTTGGGATGAATGCAAATTGGCCTCCCATGGTAATGCCCAGGAAAAAAAAATGATATCCAGAGATATCCAGCATTGGTGACTTTTAAGACCTGTGGACTTCAATTCCCAGAATTCCCCAGCCAGCATGGCTGGCTGGGGAATTCTGGGAGTTGAAGTCCATAAATTTTAAAGAGTTGGGCAAGATTGGACATCTCCGCTTTATGTTTCAAAACCAACTTTCCATTTCTACAGGAAAAGATGTTTTTGAGGCCTTTTACAAAAAAGATCTCGCCAAGCGACTCTTGGTAGGCAAAAGTGCATCAGTAGATGCTGAAAAATCCATGCTGTCAAAACTCAAACATGGTAAGGTATTTTTTTTAATGCACCTTCCACAAATGTTGCTCACGTCGCTTGTATCCTGACAATTTACTCGTTTTAATATGGAGTCTTTACCGATATAAAGTTAAACCTGTGTTTAGAAAAAAAAAACTCAGAATTGATAAAGCATTTCTGCTTGCAAAATGGGTACAGGTATTCATAAATTCTGTTTCTTTTCTCAGGTATTCATGTCTAATCCCAGTCAAGACATGCTAATTATGTCACATTCTGTGTCCTAAATCTAAGATTGAATCTTCTGAAGCTATTTTATAGCCCTCAATCAGATTCCTGTGCAATTAGTTTTCCCGGCCTGTAACCAAAGCACGGAATGCGTGAAATGCTTACAAATCTATTGCATTTTGTTTTATAAAACTATTTACAGCCTTTGCCCACTGTACCTCATAACACAATAAATATGTCAGTCTTGTAACACAAGGATACAAATTTGTTTCCCCTTTGGGAATTTGAGAGAATTGTTTATAATGGCAATTGAGTGGTTACACTTCAGGTTTTTATAACGCTTTCTACCTCAGAACAGAGGAAACTTTGCCACAAATTTGCAACCACTATGTCAAAAGATGCCCAGCTCATCTGATGCCACAGGTGGACAGGTTTCCCCGTCTCTCTTTTAGGATGCTTACAAGACGCTATCCTGTACTTCTGCCGTTTGTTCTACTACAGCTAGTCCTCAACGTATGGACACAATTGAGGCCAAAATGTATGCTGCTAAATGAGAAATTTGTTCAGGGAGTTTTGCTCGGTTTTACAACTTTTCTTGCCAATGTTTATGTGGTAGTTAAGTTAGTAACCCGGTTGTGAAGTGAATGTTGCTTGGATCTAACCTGTAATGTCTGAATTGGGTTACTGGCTTCCTTAAGTTACAAACCTTTGTGGTTATAAGCTAGAGTTTATAAATCAGGACATTTTGCCCAACTAATTCTTCATTGCAGGCAGTCCTCAGCTTTACGGCCACAATTGAGCCAAAAACGTCTGATACTAAGCAAGATATTTGCTAAGTGGGTTTGGCCCCATTTTATGTCTTTTCTTACCATAGTGACTAACCTGAATCACTGCTATTGTTAAGTTAGGATCATGGTTGCTAAGTGAATATTCCCCCTTTGCTGATCCTTTGCTGGTCAGAAGGTCACAAAAGGGGATCACTGTGACCGTCATAAACATGAATCCTTTGCCAAGCGTCTGAATGCAAATCCCATGACCACGGGGATGCAGCAACAGTCCTCAGTGTGAAAAACGGTCATAAGTCGCTTTTTTCAGCCGTTCCAAAGTGGAATATTTCTGAAAAGCATCAGCTTGCAAGCGGAGGATCTTTGAAAGATGACATTAAGCAGGTGACAAATGACGAAATGCTTTTTAACGGTGCTTTTGATCTAACTGCTCTCTTGCAGAATGTGGTGCTGCTTTCACCAGCAAACTTGAAGGAATGTTTAAAGACATGGAGCTCTCAAAAGATATTATGATACAGTTTAAGCAAGTAAGGAAGCAAAGTCTGCCATCATAGTTTCTTTCCTTTTGGCAAGCCTCTCCTTTCTAGACCTCTTCTTTCTATTCTCCTACCGTCTTCATTTTTATTTTTTTGGTAGTACCCTTCCTACCTGGGTTTCCCCAAAAATAAGACCCAAAAGTGTGAATGTAACTTTGACCTCTTCCCTCTCTCTTTTTATTAATGGAAGCATTTCTACTTCGATAAGTGAATACCGTGTTTCCCTGAAAGTAAGACCCTGTATTTATATTTATATTTATACTAGATAGATAGATGGATGGATGGATGGATGGATGGATGGATGGATAGATAGATAGATAGATAGATAGATAGATAGATAGATAGATAGATAGATGATAGACAGACAGACAGACAGATATCCATCCATCCACCAAAAAAAGGCACCAGGTCTTATTTTCGGGGGATGTCATCCACTGACTAACCTCACTTGCGCACATCGCCCCCGGCCTCCTTTTCGCTTTCAGAGGCCGTCAGGAACTTCTTCTGCGGCCTCTGCAGCCAATAACAGAGCTCTGGATCGATCCAGAGCTTTGTTATCAGCTCCAGAGGCCCTTCAGGAAAGCCTTGCTGGCTGCCAAAGAAATGGGCTGGCAAGGTAGGTGTTGCGGTGTGTGAGGCCTGGTTGTAAGATAAGTAATAGGGAAGTCCTATCCCCACCCTAGCTTAATTTTTACCAGTCTACTCTGAAGTGGGCGGGATCTTAATTAGGGCTTATTTTGGGGGGTAAAGCTTATATTGGGTGCATGTGTAAAAATCAGGCTAGGGCTTAGTTTTAGGGTAGGTCATATTTTCGGGGAAACAGGCTATTTTACTACGGCGTTGCCGTGGGGAACTCATGCCTTAAAGAACTGGGTCACTGTTCCATTATATAACTCTCTGGTAACCTTAAAAGTGCTGCAGGAATAAAATAGGAAAAATGGAAAGAATTCCTTTCTAAGTCCTCCTCCTCCTCCTCTTTTAACGGCCCCATGATCCCTTGCGGGGTGGAGCCGGGGCAACTGAATAGAGCTGAGCGTTTACTGGCCGGTTGCCCTTCCTATCGCCAATTCCTTTCTCAGTAGTTTGGAGAAAAGAATGCGAATGCACGTGTCGTTCTGAACGGTCCTCCTTTGTGTCTTTGATTCTGTCGTAGTATATGCAAAATCAGAATGTACCTGGCAACATTGAACTCACCGTGAATATTTTGACCATGGGCTACTGGCCTACATACGTGCCTATGGAGGTCCATCTACCATCAGAGGTAAAAAAAAAATTGTACAGTGGTTTTGAAATGGAAGAATTCTGTTAGCTGTCCTTCAAGGATCAGATAAGGAAGAAGTAGAATATTTAATGGGATGTGAATATGATGGTGACACACTTGAATTGGCAACCATAGGGGAAACCTTGTTTTGTAATGTTTTAAACATGGATATGGATTGAAATTGTACACAGCACAGATAAAAGTATAAGTATAATTACTTTGAAAATGTGAAAACCTTGAAAAGGATATGTAATAGATTTAAAAATGAATGAGAGAGTTATAAAATAAGCCTGAAGGAAGTATTTGAGAGGGGAAGTTAAAGAATATTTAAAGTAGTGATAAGATATGAAATTGAATATGAAAGATGAAAAATGAATATGTAAATGAGATTATATCTGTATGGATTTGAAAACCTGAAACCAAGCTGTTCACTAAAAAAAGATGTTTTATTTTTCTTTGTTTCGTGAAAACCAAAAAAATAATTTTTAAAAAAAGGTGGGGGCGGGATCAGATAAGGAGACCAGTGCCATAGTTAATAAGTAAAATATATCAGGTTATAATTCCCCTTTTTCACTCAGTTGAAACGAACCATCCAGAACTGAGGTGACCACGTCAATCTCATCGGTTTAGTTATAATATAAAATGCCAGCATCAAAGTCATTGTAGCTAAGTCGGCACTCGGATTTAAAAAGTGCAATTATAGGTTCATCTGGAGTCAGGCAAAAAGAAAGGAGTTCGAGGAGGGGAAAAAAATAGGTTTATTTTTATCTTTAAAGTCTGTGTTTCTGTTCCGTTCAGATGGTGAAGCTGCAGGAAATATTTAAGACTTTTTACCTGGGAAAACACAGTGGCAGGAAACTTCAGTGGCAATCCACATTAGGACACTGTGTATTGAAAGCTGAATTTAAAGAGGTAAGGTTTGCTTTGGGGTATATTTTTTTTATCCCCCATAGGTGGAAATATCGTTTTGCAGATTGGAAAGATTTGTACCAGCATTTTTTAAAGCAAATCTTACTTGCATCCCTAAACTCTGTTCGGCTGTCTTGAACTTTAAATGCTTTATAGGCAATCCTCGACTTACGACCATAATTGGGATTAGAATTTCTGCGGCTGAGTAAGGCAGTTGCAATGGCCATAAATGCGAGGACCGGATGTAAGTCGCTTTTTCAGTGCCAGTATAACAGTCATGGCCGGCTGGGGAATTCTGGGAGTTGAAGCCCACACATCTTCCAGCTACCAAGGTTGAGCAATGCCGACATAGATCGTAAGACCTTTAATGTCGTGATAATGACAGTGATCATTATAGATGAGTGCTCCGACACGGCTTTAACAGACTGAACAGATAACCAGAGTTGGAAGGGACCTTGTAGGTTATCTAGTCCAACCCTCCGCCCAAGCGGAGAGACCCTACACCATTTCTGACAAATGGCAGTCCAATCTCTTCTTGAAAATCTCAAGTGATGGTGCTCCCACAACTTCCGAAGGCAACTTCTGTTCCATGGGTTGATTGTTCACTCTGTCAGAAAATTTCTCCTTATTTCCAGATTGAATCTCTCCTTGTTTAGTTTCCATCCATTATTCTTTGTCTGGCCTTCAGGTATTTTAGAAAATAGCTTGACCCTTTGCTCTCTGTGGCAGCCCCTCCAATATTGGAAGACTGCTATCCTGTCTCCACTGGTCCTTCTCTTCCCTACACTAGCCATGCCCAGTTCCTGCAACTGTTCTTCATATGTTTTAGCCTCCAGTCCCCTAATCATCCTGGTTGCTCTTCTCTGCACTTTTTCTAGAGTCTCAACATCTTTTTTATAATGTAGTGAGCAAAACTGGATGCCGTATTCTAGGTGTGGTCTTACTAAGGCTTTATAGAGATAACTTTGAAGCAAGCATTTCACCATGAAGTTTTCACCCATTCGGCTTCGTTCAATTCATATTTTTTTTCCCCCGGCAGGGCAAGAAAGAGCTCCAGGTATCTTTGTTCCAGACTTTAGTGCTACTTATGTTTAACGAAGGTGAAGAATTCAGTTTAGAAGAAATAAAGCAAGCGACCGGAATAGGTCAGTATTTGAGGGCTGCTCGTAACTTTTGAGTATGCACCGTTCAGATGCTGAAGCGTGCATTTCTCTCCCTCTCTTTTTGTGTCTTTGTCTTTCTCTCTCTCTCTCTCTCACTGCTACAGAGGATGGAGAGCTAAGGAGAACCCTCCAGTCATTAGCCTGTGGCAAGGCCCGAGTGCTGGCCAAAAGTCCCAAAGGGAAAGACGTAGAAGATGGAGACAAATTCACTTGCAATGATGACTTCAGGCATAAACTCTTCCGGATAAAAATCAACCAGATCCAGATGAAAGAAACGGTAATTTGTTTTCCCTTCCCCCCCCTCCCCCAAAAAAATACCCTGGGCCTAAATCAGATGTAAAAGAAGGATCTCCAACCTTGACACTATGGTAGTTGTGGACTTTATGACTTGGGGACTTCAACTCCCAGAATTCTTCAGCCAGCGTGGCTGAGGGATTCTGGGAGTTGAAATCCCCAAGTCATCATGCTGTCAAAGTTGGAGAGCCCTCTGTTTAAAAGAAATAGGTACCCTTAAAACCCAAACACTGATACTTTTGAACATCCCAAAGATAAACGAACTATAATTTAAGTTAATTTAGAAATGGACTATCATTTAGATTCATCCCGACACCTTTGAGTATTTTTGAATTAACACCTCTTGACGCCAGGCTGGGAAAGCCTGAATGAATGGATTAATCTCCTGTTTGCTTTTCGGAGGCCAAACTTTTTGTTTGTTTTACTTCCACAGGTAGAAGAACAAGCTAGCACTACAGAGAGAGTCTTTCAGGATCGTCAGTACCAAATTGACGCAGCAATAGTGAGAATCATGAAAATGCGCAAGACGCTTACCCACAATCTGCTTGTCTCTGAAGTATACAACCAGCTGAAATTCCCAGTAAAGGTAGGTCCCAGGGTATGTTTAAGGTGGGACTCTTCATAATTTTGGGTTACCAGCAAATAAACATCATCGTGTTAAACGTTCCCATTGTTTCTTTTTATCCCACCTTCGTTGTTTTTTATAAATAGCTGAAGGTGGTGAAGATACATAATATTCCTTTCTCTTCCTATTTTATCCACAACAACAACCCTGTGACTGTGAGGTGGAACAGGTCTGAAGTCACCCAGCCAGCTTTCATGGCTAAAGCAGGATTAGAACTCAGCATCTCCTGGTGCTTGGCCCAAAGTCACCCAGATGGCTTTCATGCCTAACGCAGGACTAGAACTCACCGTCTCCTGGTGATTGGCCCTAAGGCACCCAGCTGTCTTTTATGCCTAAGGCAGGACTAGAACTCAACGTCTCCTACTTTCTAACCTGGGTGCTTCACTCCTGGACCAAACTGGCTCTTATTTTGCCCATTGGCTTCTCTTTATAAGTGATGAAACAAAAATGACCGTGTCTTTCATTCAAGCTAGGAACTTTTTGGAGTTGTTGTTCTCAAGACAGAAGAGCTTCTGGATCTAAGGACAAATCGTTGTTTCCAGCTTCAGCTTCTCCTGATAGGAACCAACCAGAAATTATACTACATTCAGTGCAACTACCACAGCCGGAGCTGTCTGGCTGTTAGCTGTGTCCATTAACAAGAAGATCTAGCCAGACTGGTTTAGATTGGCAAGCACCAGCAAGCAAATTTACTAATAAGCCAAAATTCTGTGCAAATGCAACCATCCTTTGCTGCTTGTAGTACTTTCCCAAAATCCAAACCATCCATTTTACTTTAATACCTAGCATTTGCTTCATTTAAAGTGGCAGAAGCTTTTTCTCAGGAAAATAATCTTTTTTAAAAAAATTCCAAATGAAGTCAAAAGTATTTTTTTACCTAGGTAGACATAAATACATGTCCACGTTTTGTAGACCTCAAAAGTACAAACATTTCTGATTGCAAATCCAGGCATACCAAAAGAATCTGATAAAGCCAACATACCGATGTGAAATAAGTCTTTTTAAATGTACTTCATTCGTTCTTTTAAATCTGTTTTTTCTTTCCTTATGCAGACATTGTTTCTGATTTCTTGTGTTGTTTTTCAGCCTGCTGACCTTAAGAAGAGAATAGAATCGTTAATTGACAGAGACTACATGGAAAGAGACAAGGAGAATCCCAATCAGTACAACTACATTGCATAAACACACAATGAGCCTTTTTTTTTCCTTTTCTGCACACTGATGTTCTTGGTTACTGATGGATAAACAAGCCTGTTGATCCCATTAAATTAACCTTTTTTCTACTACCAATGACTGAATGAAAGCAACCTCTAATGGGATTGTGGGCAGGGGGGAAGAAATATAGTCAAGTGGTCTTTTTTTTTTCAGTGGCTTTACATGCCCGTTTAAAAGAGTAGTATTTACATTTTTATGAAGAATGCTGTTGAACTCTTTGCATGATATTTGGTATGAACTGTGGAAGATTGCAAGGAAGTATCCGGTCTTTATAATTGCACCCCTTCCTTCAGGTTTAAAGGGACAGCCTCTCTTTAGCACATCGCGCTCATCCCATTTTGAAAAGGAAAAAAAAAACTAAAATGTGTAGCGTTTTTATTAAGAAAACAAAACCCCCAAGTTACAACCTTTTTTTTTAAAAAAAAAAAAAGACGCTTAAACTGCATGCAAATGTCTAACCGCTATATGAAATTATTGGGTTTTGTTTATTGGACAACAAAGCCTATGTGGATTGGCAATCTTCAGAATGAAAAGCTGCTCTCATATTTCCTAAACATAACAAAATTGTTCTGTAGGTGTTAGAAAGAAAAGCACGCCACTGGATTTTCCCAAGGTTGAGAACAGGAACCTGTCTAAAATGCGTGGATATGTGGTGCAAATATTACTGTGAAAAGCTTAAGGGAATTAGGCTGCTGCTTACTTCCTTCATCCTTAAGTGTAAGTACTTTTAAAAAAACAAAAACAAGTCATGATATCAGAGTTCATTGTGAAGGGGGGAGAATTTTTAGAGGATCATTATTTCAGAAACTCTTAATGAATGTCAGGGTGTAATGTGATAGCTGCACTGGATGTTTATTTCCCCCCCTTCCCCGTGCAAAATTGGAGGTTTTACCCTTCTTCTGAATTGCACATGTTTTATTATTAGACCAAGAATTGAACAGGTATTTATAAAACGGTGCCTTCCATCCCATCCAGCTATAGTGAGGAGGAGAGTTATAGCTTAAACCAGTGTTTCTCAAACTTGGCAGCTTTAAGATGTGTAGGCTTTGCTGGCTGGGGAATCCTGGATGTTGCAGTCCACGTGTCTTAAAAGTTGCCAAGTTTTTTTTAAAAAAACAACAACACTAGCCTAAATAATACCTCTGCTCTCTCTTCGTTCGTTGAGTCATGCTGGATTCTGGAAGGAGGAGGAGACCATTTCTAGACAGACTGGATTTACTGAGCATGGTTCCCATCATAACGGTACCTTTTCCCTACCTGGTCCTGTTAGTAAGGGGCTATAAGTCAGCTAGCAGGAAAAGTCTAAGAGCTGCTTATCATCTCTTCCAGTGCCCGGTGATTTTCAGATACATACAATTCTAAGAGAACATTAGGATGGTATTAAAAGAGTACCCAAACGCTGTTTTTGAATCACAGCGGCTTCTCAGTAACCTACCTTCATTGCTTTTAATTTGTTACACCAAATCTGTGGGTAGACTGAGTTGGTTTTTCCATCCGAAGGTCCTGCACTGTTGCATCCCATCAAAAATCCTGTTTTTAATCAGGCGCTTTCAAACCCAGTATCCATGTTCAGTATTCATCTCTATGAACAGCCGAATCCAGTGCTAATCATAACTGTGGCCCTTCAGAACTGACCTGGCGGGGTTTTTCCTTAACTTGTCCAACCCAGAAAATCTCTGGATTGAAAATTTATCAGACCTTAAAGCCACCTTCTCTCTTCCTGGCACAGACCTCCAGTGGAAATATTTAGCCATCCATGGCCTTCCTAGCCTGGTCATCTAGAAAATGAATGTTTCCTGCCTAAGAGCGACATTTATGTACATTTATCTTTCATCTAGGCTAGTTTAGCAGGCCATCTTGTTGGTACATCTGTGTCTAGGAACTCAGGGAGACAAGCATTCCTCACAGAAATTGGGTTTCTTTTAAACCTCCAATCGTCAAGTGATGCTGGGGAGTTTTTTTTCTCCCTTAAAGAGACTCTGTAAGAGGAGAAAAAAGTTCATAATAAGTCAGTTCACCAAATCATATTCCCTAAGTGATGCTGAATAATAGCTATTTTTCAGCCATATCGGCCAGCAACTTTTCTTTCTGCTGGCATCGTGTGCCTGCTTTATGGAGCCATAAAAATATTTATAATAGATATGTATATAAAAATGACTGACTTTTTTCCCCCAACCAGGGGCTAAAGCAGAGACCCACAGCTTGTATGGACATAAATTTTTAAAATCTTTTTTTTTTTTCTGTTGCATGCAGTTTATAGCAGCCGCCTTTGTATGAAATCAGAATTTTGTTGATTTTAGTTTGAAGGTTTTTTAACCAAAAAAAAAAACACTTTATAGCCAACAAAATGATTTTTTTTGCTAATTTACATTTAAGCGACCACATGGTTTCAGAATTAATGGCAAAGGTGTTGTACAAAATTATTTGTTCTATAGTATACACAAAGGTGCCAAAGTACACATTAGTTAATTTAAAGAAAATAGACAATTGTTAATGTTATTTTAGCTGTGGTTTTATTTACCTTTATTCATAATTCAGATGCTCGTTTTATCTGTCTAATGCGTGCCCCATTTCTGTGTGTTTAAACGTGTGTTCCCGTCTTGATTTCTCCAAAACACAAAACATTTTGTCTTTCTAATTTTCTTCAAAATAAATTTTTTGTTTTGTTTTGTTTTGTGCATTGGAAAAATACCACTTCTACTTTTAGTGACTATATAAGAACATCACCACCTCCCTAAATGTTTAAAACTCTAAAAGAGTCCAGCAGCATTCAAAAATGTAATATACTTTTTTGTATAGACACATTCTTTGGAAAGAATATCTTTGCAATGGGTGGAGGGAGGGGACAGACAGCAGTGGGAGGGGAAAAAAATAATCCTGTTTCTTTTAAGGAGCCACTTCAGTAGGCTATTTAAGATTGTGCTTGTTTATTGCATAGAAGTGTTCTATTTACACAGGTCTGCAAAGAGGACATGTCCGCATTAATTCCTTCAATGCAAATAAAATACCAAACCCGAAACAATTTTCAAACGCTTCATAAGTCAAAGTGGATGGGGTACAGAGAGTCTCTTTGGTAAATAATGTAAATACATGTCCTTTAAAAAGAGTGAGTCTGTTATCTAGGTATTTTGTGTCATTTAATAAATAATAAACAGTTTTGTGTTGCTAAAGTCTTCCTCGGTCGTGTGTGGGGGTGAAACGAGTTTGTGACGATGATGTGCCTATCGCTTCTCGGGTTGACATTGGGCTATTTAAAAAAAAAAAACTCACTAAACGACCGCAATTGAGGCCAAAACCTACGTTGCTAAGTGAGACCTTATTCAAGTGAGCTTTGTCCCATCTTACAACTTTTCTTGCCACAGTTGTTAAGTGAATCATTGCCGTTGTTAAGTCAGCAGCCCGCTTGTTAAGTGAATCTGGCCTTCCCCATTGACTTCGCTTGCTGGTAAGTTAGAATTGAATTGTTAGTATAACCCGAGTCGGAAGGCACCTTGGAGGTCTTCTAGGCCAGGGTCGCCAACCTTTTGGACCTCAGGGACCACCAAACTCATAATTTTAAATGCCATGGACCAAAAACCCTGGGAAAATCCCCCCAAAAGTCCGCAGGAAAATTCCCCACCCTGTTTTCCTACCGATCAATTGTTCTTTATTTGTGATCGCAGGATACTGTCTCCCGTTCCGTTCTCGGCGGGGGGGGGGGGGGGGAGACTTTTGGCTTCATGCAAGGAAAGCAGCAGAAGTCTTTCTTTCTCTCCCCCAAACTCCGCCAGAAATGAGTCTCGGCTGGCGCAGCCTCTTGGAGCAGGAGGCCTTGCAGGGTCCCAAAGACTCATGCTTTATTTTTTGGGGTGTGTGTGTGTGGTTCTTTTTTAACTTCTGGTAAGCCAGCTCATTGCAACCATTTTTGGTTTTTGAATTTGCTTAATGAAAACAAGGGCTTCGGCGTAGCGCAGAATAGATGGGTGGATTGATTCAAAGTTGGCTTGGTTCAAAATAGGTGGGTTGTATTAATTGATTCAAAGTTCCTATCTCCCCAAGATTGTGGAGGGGGAACAAAAACCAGATATCTTTCTAATCTGCGGCGCTCAAGTGGCGGAACGAAGAGGGGCAACCTGGCCTCTTTTTCTGCAAACGAGTTTTTGTGCCGCACAAACTCTTAATGAAAGTCCCATGCCTGGGTGAACATGCCGAGCCAGCATTTCTTGGTTGAATATGTTGCATAAAAGGCCAATTTGGGTGCGGTATATACACGTGCGTTAAGCATGAAAGCCAGCTGGGTGACTTCAAGACAATCACCAGGAGATTGGGAGTTCTAAATCCACCTTAGGTATGAAAGCTGGCTGGATGACTTCAGGTAAATCGCCAGGAGACTGGGAGTTCTAGTCCTGCCTTAGGCCTTGAAAACTGCGTGGTTGACTTTGGGCCAATTGGCAGGAGACTGGAAGTTCTATTTCCCCCCCCACTTTAGCCATGAAAGCCAGCTGGGTGACTTCAAGACCACCACTAGGAGACTGGGAGTTCTAGTCCTGCCTTGGGCCTTGAAAACAGCCTGGTTGACTTTGGTCCAGTCGCCAGGAGACTGGGAGTTCTAGTCCCACCTTAGCCATGAAAGCCAGCTGGGTGACTTCAAGACAACCACTAGGAAACTGGGAGTTCTAGTCCTGCCTTAGGCCTTGAAAACAGCCTGGTTGACTTTGGTCCAGTCGCCAGGAGACTGGGAGTTCTAGTCCCACCTTAGCCATGAAAGCCAGCAGGGTGACTTCAGGCCAGTCAGCAGGAGACTGGGAGTTCTAGTCCCCCCCTTAGCCATGAAAGCCAGCTGGGTGACTTCAAGACAATCACCAGGAGATTGGGAGTTCTAAATCCATCTTAGGTATGAAAGCTGGCTGGATGACTTCAGGTTAATCGCCAGGAGACTGGGAGTTCTAGTCCTGCCTTAGGCCTTGAAAACAGCCTGGTTGACTTTGGTCCAATCGCCAGAAGATTGGGAGTTCTAGATCCGCCATAGGCATGAAAGTTGGCTGGATGAGTTTGGTCCAGTAGCCAGGAGAATGAATTCTAGTCCCACCTTCGCCATGAAAACCAGCTGGGTGACTTCAAGACAATCACCAGGCAATGGGGAGTTCTAGTCCTTAAGCATGAAAGCAGGCTGGGTGCCTTTTTTTTTTGAAGTTACAGCACAAAAAAGCCCATTATCCCAACGTGACACCTCCGCCTCCTTTATTTGCAATTATTACAAGGTTTCACGTGGCTCCCCAGCGAAGCTCAGCACTTTCCCCGAATCAGCTTTTTTTTTTAATTGTTTGGTGTGCCTTCCCCATCTACGCAGCTTAGCTTAGCTTGGCACGGGCTTGGGCACAGCCCTGCAGCCAAAGCCGATTTTGCAAAGCAAACCATGGTTACGGGTGGGGAATAAAAGATTTCAAATCGTGGCTGATTGGTGTGTGTGTGTGTGTAGTAAAGATTTCAAATTTGCAATCGGGGCAATTGAATGAAATAAAATAATAAAATAAAATAATAAAACTTAGTAAAATAATAAAATAAAATAAAGTAATAAAATAAAATAAAACTAAAACAAAATAAAATAATATAATATAATATAATAAATAAAATAATAAAATAAATAAAAGAATAAAAGAAAAGAAAATAATACAATAACACAATAAAATAATACAATAATCAAAACAAAACAATAAAACAAAACAAAACAATGAAACAAAACAAAATAATAAAGTAATACAAAAAACAAAACAAAATAAAATAAAATAATACAAAATAAAATAAAAGTTGACCGCTCACACCCTCCTTTGTGATGAAAACCTAAACCGCGCCCAGCCGCCTCTTGTTTCGGCAGAAAGGCCGGCCGTGAACCGCAAGGTCCGCGCAAGGCGGAGCCGCGCCGCGATTGGTCGGCGCCGCCGAGAGGCTCCTCCTTTGTCCCCGCGGGGCCACGCCCCCTGGCTTTGGCCATATGACCGGCTTGAGCGAGTTGCGCGGCTCGTCTCGCTGCCGGGATTCCGTTCGTGGCTGCTGCTGGTTCTCCTCGCCGCTTCGGCATGGACCCGCCTCGGCTTCGCTTCCGACCGCCCTTCTTCTCGGGCTGCCTGCTCCTCCTGCCCCTGCTGCTCAACGGCCTGGGTGAGAACCTGGGGGGGAGGGAGGCACTTTTGGGGGGCGGTGGGCTGGCCTGGGGATACAGTTGGGGGGGGACACCCCCAAAGGTGGAGGGAGCATTCGGGGAGGGGGCTCTCAAATGGGGAGGGAGGGGCCGAGGGTCTCTGGAAAGCAGTGTTTTTTGGGGGGGGGGGGGCTCGGCTGCCCTGGCAATGCCATAAGGGGGTGAGACACCCCCCCTCAACAGGTAGAGAGATCATTCGGGGAGGGGGGTATCCCATGGAGAAGGAGGGGTGGAAGCAGCGGAGGGTCTTTTGGAAGCAGTTTTTGGGGGGTGGGCTGCCCTGGGAATGTGATAAAGGGGGTTGACACCCCCCCCAAAGGTGGAGAGAGCATCCGGGGAGGTGGGGGTCTTCCATGGGAGGGGGTGGAAGCAGCTAAGAGTCTCTTGGAAGCAGTTTTGGGGGGCTCTGGGCTGCCCTGGGAATGCGATAATCGGATGAGACCCCCCCAAAAAAAAGATGGAGAGCGCACTCAGGGATGGGGGTCTCAAGTGGGGAGGCAGGGGCCGAGGGTCCCTTAGAAGCAGTTTTGTGGGGGGCTAGGCTGCCCTGGGAATGCAATGAGGGGTGACACCACCACCCCAAAGATGGAGGAAGCATTGGGGAGGGAGGAATCCCCCATCATAGCAGGGGGTGGAAGCAGCCGAGGGTCTCTTGGAAGGAATTTGGGGGTGGGGTGGGCTGCCCTGGGAATGCGATAAGGGGGTGACACCCTCCAAAGGTAGATCATTCAGGGAGGAGGGAATCCCATGGGGAGGGAGGGGTAGAAGCAGTGGAGGGTCTCTTGGAAGGAGGTTTTTTTGGGGGGGGGCTTCCCTGGGAATGCAATCAGGAGGGTGGTGACACCCCCCCCCCCAAATATGGAAAGAGTATTCAGGGAGGGGTGTGAAAGCGGCTGAAGGTCTCTTGGAAGCACCCCCAGAAGTAGGGGTCCCGCTTGGGCATACCCTGAAGATGGAGAAAGGGCTGCCTGGGAGGAGAGGTGATGGAGAATTCGGGCATGCTGCCCCCCTCCCCCCCAAAAAAAAATTGAGGGTGGAAACAGAGAGCAAAGGCGGAAGGGGGGGGCGTTAAAAAGTGGGGAAGCTGGAAGTGCAAACAGGAGTAGACATGCCCTAAAAGTGGGAGTGAAGCTCCAAAAACAGAGGTCTCCAAACTTGGCAACTTTAAGACTTGTGGATTTCAACTCCCAGAATTCTGGGAGTTGAAATCCACAAGTCTTAAAGTTGCCAAGTTTGGGGACCCCTGCTCTAAAAGGGATGGTGGAAGGCACCCCGAATTTGGATTCGATGCATGGGATGGGCGGTAGAAGATTCGGAGGTGCCCCCCTCAAATGTTCAGGTGGCGGTAGAGAGGGATGGAGGAGGGCTCCCCTGAAAGTGGGGGGAGGCAATTGCCACACCCTAAAAGTGGGGGTGCACTGGGGAACCCTCCAAATGTTGTGAGTGGATGCCTGGAATAGGGCTGTAGAGCATTCCTGGGTGTCCCTTTCCTCGAATTTGGGGTGGAAAAGATAGAGGGCAACAGAGAAGAAAGATCTCGTAAAATGCAACTTAGGCACCCCAAAGTTTGAGAGTGCTTGGATTGTCTCCTCCAAATGAGTTGGTGGTTGGAGGTGAAGAGGATGGAAACTTCGGGGGTACATCCTTAAAAGCTCAGGAGAAGAAGAGCGGAGATCCCATGAAAGGCAGGGAAGCTTCTGAGATGCCTTCAAAAGGTTGTGAGGAGATTGGATGAAGTTGCATCTGAAGTGAGACTCAAGCAGTTGCGTTGTCCTGCTCATAATGGAGGAGTGAACAATGGATGTTAGAGGAGAAACCCCTCCAAAAAGATTGGAAGAGAAGATTAAGAAGATTAGGAACCCACAATATTCTGGGCCACAAGATATTTACAGAACTATATTCTGTCAAGTGGTTGGTTCCACTTCCAAGCTACATTGAAGCCCTGGGAGTTCTTATCTCCTTTCTAAACCACAAACCTGGCCCAACCTTGGGTAGTTTTTGAGGATTAGCCAAAAGAAGTCAGGTGCTATTACTCATCTGAGTTATTACAAACTCAGGGGAAATTATACCTGCTCAAGCAGCCTTACTCAATCTGGCATCCTTCTCTTAGGCTGAAAAGCAAGTATGACTGTCAGCGAATGGAGAAGATAAAGGTGGATTTCTGCTGACTTGCTCTTTTCTTCTTCTGGCTGATATTTTTCAGCTCCCCAGTCCAACTGAGAGTTTTCTGGACATCCTCCACCCACCCAAATCCAGATCCAAATTCTGGCTTGGTTTGTCTTGCCAAGAGCAAAGGGGAGCATGTCAAACTTTGAAGGTCTTCAACACGCAAGTAGGGAGATGGCTGAGTGAGCCTTGTTAAAAAAAATAAATAGGTGTTTCTAGGTTGGAAGAACTTCTCAGAGGTTGGAGAACAAAAAGGCCACAACCGTGGCTTGGATGTGAATATAAAGAGGCTCTTCTGAATCCAGCAGGGGTCAACTTTTGTGACTTGACTTGTTGTGTAAACAAGGCTGTTGTGACATCATCAAAAACTAAAATCCCTCAGTAGTTTACAGTCTCTCCATGTTGTGTATAAGCTCAGCCTTTGATTTCTAGCTGGACTCTGGATCCCACTGCCATTTATGATCCAGTTGTCAATTAGAAATTCAGAGAGAGAATTCCCTATCCTTGAAGGGGAACCTGATCCATCCTTGATTGAGTTCTCAGCGATTGAAACACTGAGGTTCCTAAAACTCATCCAAATCTTTTGAAGTTTTAAGGGTATTGGAACCACAACTCTTCAGCCAGTGTTAGCAGGACACGTTTCTGGGACTTCACCTCCTTTCAGATTTTGATATCAAGTTTAGTGAAGCTTGAAATCAGTTTTTGGACTTGTGGGTTCATGTATGACAGTCAGTCATGGTGACATAATAAATGCATCGCATAGAGAGGCCTTCAGAGGCACTTGGCTACAGATGGAGATATCATAAATTCAAGTCCATTTTGGGCACAAAGCCTTGGGCCAGTCACTTTCTTTCAGCCCTAGGAAAGGAGGCAATGGCGCAAACCCTTAACAGATTAATAGTTAGATTTCAGTTTGGGAATATTTCATGTACCCTTAACAGATAATCAGAGTTGGAAGGGACCTTGTAGGTCATCTAGTCCAACCCCCCACCCAAGTGGGAGACCCTACACCATTTCTGACAAATGGCAGTCCAGTCTCTTCTTAAAAGTCTCAAGTGATGATGCTCCCACAACTTCCGAAGGCAACCCACTTCTGAAAAAACCTTGTCAAGAAAACTGTAGGGATTTGTCCTGTCAACCTCCAAGAATCAGAGATGAATGAAAGAAAAATAAATAAATGGCTGATCTTTACATATAGAACAACTCTGTCCTGCTTTAAAAGAAAGGGGTGTAGTGCCAGTTACATTTTTTGTTGAGTTTTGTAATAGAATTGGAAAGAATTTGGTCTCTGCTTGGTATGAGTTCCTTCTCTGGTCTAGTTGTTTTCCTGTTCAAACTCTGGCATCTTCAGCAATTTCTTCTTGCAATTTCAATGCTTCTCTTAGCCTTCCTGTCTTTAAAAAAAAGTTGTTCTTATTGTATTTGTGTGTCAGGTGGGGAAATGTATCTTGCAAGCCTCACCACATTTGTCCAATTTGAAAGGGGGGGGGCCACATCATTAAAATATAAGATTAATTAGGAGGGAAGGATTTTCAGTTGCAGAGGTTTTAACAGCTGTTAAACCAGCATTTAAACCTGTTTGTTAAGCGCCGTGTCAGGAGTTCTGTCTGGGAAAGACAGGCTGGGACATGTGTGTTGCAATTACATCAAAAATTTACTACCATACTGGAGTGACATCCAGTCAATTAAGTATTGGGTGGCAGAAATAAAATAGGGTTGGGAGACTTCTAAAATATGCACGTGCCCTTGAATTTTCTATCCACCCTCCAAGAAATGTGAGAAGGCAAACATTTGTTTCTATAATAGCATCTTCATCAGCAGTGGTTTTTTTTTTTATAGCTAATGAAGCGTGGGTGTTTTAAATTCATCAGTCTAGATAAAAATCAGCTTTAGGCCAGAATGACTGAAAGATAATTACGGATGTGAAATTTTTCTTCCTGAAGTTTTTTTTTTTTTTCATTAACAAGCGGCTTCTTTCTCTCCTACATTCAAACATAATTATAATCTGAACACAAAGAGAAATGCATTTAAGGGAGAAAGGTGATCGTGACTGTATAAAACGCGGCTTTTATTCTATTTTGCAATTCACACACAACACTTCTATTTAAATGGAAATTAAAACAAATTTAGTTTTCCCCCCCCCACCAGAAATATCCTCGAAGACTGATTCTGATCTCAGATTAAAAATAGCTGAGGAATAGATTGGGTCTATTTTGTAAATTTGCTTTTTGCACAATTAATCTTAATCCCCTATACCCGTGATGGTAACCTATGGCATGTGTGCCACAGGTGGCAACGCAGAGCCATTTGTGCCGGCATGCAAGCTACAGGCAAACTTACCTCACTGGGCATGTATGTGCCTCACAGCTGATTTTTGGCCAGTTTAAGGCCTTTTTTGGCCTCCCAAGGGCTCGAGGAAGGCTTTTTTTTTTTTTTCCTGAAAATACCGGAAGTGATGAAACGGGGCTATTTTTTGGCCTGCAAAGCCTGCAGAAGCCTTCCTCAAGCCTTTGGGAGGCCGAAAAAGGCCTCAAACGGGCTGAAAATCGGCTGTGAGGTGCAGTGCAGGTAAGGGGGCAGCGTGGATGGGTTGGGATTATGCACCCATGTGTAGGGGGTTTGGGGGAGGTGCATTGCCTTCTGGGTGCTGGCATGCAAGTGCGAGCGTGCAAGCCCGCACACAATTTTTGGCACAGAGCCCAAAAAGTTTAGCCACCCCTGCCCTATACCATTCTCAAAAGCCTCCAGTGAGAGAGCACCTACAATTTCTGAAGGCAAGCCTTCCAACAACTAGTTAATTTTTCTCAATTAAATGCAGGGCGGTGGGACATTTTGACATGAATTGTATCACTGGCTTACTGGGCAAACCATTTTCTAGTTGTTTTCCAGACCTACGCGGTAGATTTGGAGGTGAAAGATGACGCTAACATGTCTTGTCTGTTTGCAAAATGGATGGTGAAATTCTCGATAAGCTACGAAGGAACCGATGAATCTGTAAGCATGCCTGGTTTTTATTTTATTTTTGTTTCCCAGTATTTAAGGTACCAATGGGAAAATTGGGGGGGACCTCTACTTCCTGAAAACAGAAGCATCTCAACAGCCCTGTTTGAAAATTGTGTTAAACTACCCAGAGGGCTGCCAAGTCCTTTGGATTTAATTCCCAAAAGGCCTCTGGGGGAGAGAGAGAGAGAGAGAGAGAGAGACGGAAAATGGCTCTCCTAGAGTTCTGGAACTCCGGAAACTGCCTTGTTCCCTGCTTCCAGAGCCCAGGGGTGGCCTCCCAGAGGCCTGAGGGAAGCCTCCGGATTCTGGGAAAGGCGAAAAATGGCTCTCCTGGAGAGAGCCATTTTTACGGTAGGCCATGCCCACCCAGCAGTCGAGCAGAGAAGTGGTTGTTGGGATTTTTGAATCCCACCCCTGCACCCGTTGCTTCTTGTCCTGTCTTCCGGCGCCTCGGAAAGTAGCAGCCCCTCAAATATTAGAAGACTGCTGTCATGTCTCCACCCAACTCAACGTTGACCGTAGATGCTTTCCAGCCAGAGTTCATCAGGGGTCTCACACACATTCAACTTAAAAAAAAGCTCCCGCTTGGTTTGAAATCTTTTTTGCAGAAAACATCTACGTTTATGCTCCCGGAAGACCTGAGCTACATCGGAACCTCTTGTGGGAATGCGACCTCGGGCCCCGTCCTTTCTATTGAGTTTGGGGACGGGAATTCTTGGTCCATTAGCTTCACAAAGACCAAAGAGACTTATCAAGGAGCCATCACCTTTGTCTACAACACCGGAGACTTGATGTTCTTTCCGGATGCTAAAAGGAAAGGTAGGTTTGGAGACTTCAGGTTGCTTTGGTTCTGTCGTGATCGTTCGCCAGCTGAAGGAATGTTGCCTCTTTGAATGGCGCCTCTGAACTTCTCTGGGTGGTTCTGGCAGCTTGGAAATGCCTTTATCCACCATCTTAACAGGGGAAACATCTCAAAAGTGGGATATTAAACATATATCTATATATATAAAAGTGAAATACCATCTCCCACCCTCTGCAGGAAGGGCAGTATCAATCTAACGCATAAACTACTCGTCTTATTCCTGCCGTTGACTCTGAGATATCTACAGGGCTTTCAAAGTCCTTGTTTTGCTCAGTGAAAGTGCCTCAAAATGCCCAAAAAGAAAGAAAGAAAATTGAAAGTTTGAATCCTTCCTACTCTGGGTGGAAATTTGAAGTTATAAAATTCATATCAGCCCAACTCATCCGATTTAGATAATCCTGAATTCATATCTCAAGGCTCCGAGGAGGCCATCAAAAGCAGGAGAAATGATCTTGTAAAAAAATAACTGAGGTGAAACTGGAACTGAATCTTGTGAGGATCATGGACTGCCCCATAACAGTCCCCAGAGGGGAGAATTTTGGTGTCTTTCACGTAGTATGAAGTGCTCAGGTTATGTGGAAGAGGTTTTGTCATGAGGAAAAACAGGTGGTGTATTTCCGCCCTCCGAGCTTATTGCAAAACCCAAATGTGGCAAGATTCTCTTGCAAAAAACCCCACGCTTCTTACTCTTCCAACTTCCAGGTTGATTTACTTCTTGCCTTGCCTCTCCTGGAGAACTTAAACTGGCTTGGCCTGAAAGGGAATTTCCTCATTTTATACAAGGAGTGCTAGCAAAAGGGCTGAGCTCAGTTGAGCAAGACTGAGTGGGTGCTTCATTCTTCTTGATCTCCTGTCTTATACTTAAGATGCCACTCCGCCTGTATCTCTTGAGTGAGGTAAAAAGTGAGCTTTCTCCCACCTTCCCTTGCAGTTCTTTGCAACAGATCTTGGCTAGAAAGACATTTCCCCTGGCTGGATTAATCTTGTCACATTAATTGGAATCTTTCCAATTACGGGTTTGCACACCCTGATTGCTAGCTTAAGTTCAAGTGGGGCACCATTGTCTTTCTCGGCCTCCGGAATCCTGCAAGGAATTTTAGGTTTGAAATCTCAAAGGTGCTTTCTCCAAAGGGCAACTGGACTTTCTTGGTTTTTTTTGTTTTGTTTTTCCTGGAAAACGTTTCGCTCCTCATCCAGGAAGCTTCTTCGGTTCAGAAGAAGCTCACTGAAGTTCATTGGAGAAACGTCTTGGATGAGAAGCAAAACTTTTTTAAAGGGAGGGTGGAAAACAAAGTGTCATGACTCAGGGCGTGGCACAAAGGCAACACATTCAAATAAGCAAGAAGAGTCCCTTTATTAGCTCCAACTTTGTCCTCAATGTCCATGTGTGTTACCTTCGCCTGGAGAAAAACTCTCCCAGGAACAGTCTTTAAGTGGAGGAAATTCAGTCCAAAAACAAAGCACATACAAACTGTAACTAGAAATCCAAATAAACCACGCTGCAGTAATTAACTTGACTGGGCAGGAGAAGGAATTGCAGACTTGACAGGCCATCCAAACACACATAGCTGGGAAGACACCAGGAACCCAGATAAGCCATACCAGACAAGTTGCTGTGTGCAGCTTCCCTTTTTAAACAGTGTGTTCCCAGCTGCAGCTAATGAAGGGAATCAGGGCCCTTTCCTCTCCAGTAAGCCACACAACCCACATTGCTCCCTTCTCTGTTCCTCCCTGCATGCCCTAGGATGAAGAGAGGGTGGTCCTCCTGGGTCTTCCTCTCTCTTGCTCTACCTCTTCCTGCTCTGCCCAGGGGGAATTTGCCCTTCCCCAGTTTCTTCCACAGCCAATGGAGCCACACTCTCACTCCCTGTCAGCTGCTTGGCCTCCCCCTCCGAATCAGATTCCAACAGGGGCACGACACACAGAAAATCCAAAGCATCTTTGGGATAGGCATGATCTGGATGATCGAGAATTCTCCGTAGACATTTAGGTTGATATATTTGCAAGCCTCAGCTGGCAGCCTTGGCCTCTCAAACTTCTGGATTTCTTTACAGAACGAATAACCGTTATGGCCAATTTTCCTGCCAACCCAGTTCCGCTAAATACGGCCTTTAGTTGTGACACTGAAGACACGGTGAAAAGCGGCGATGTCACCCAGACGTTCCAGAGTGTGACGCTGCAAGCTTTCCTTCAAGACGGACGCTTGAGTAGCCAGAGTGAGTAGCCCAAGAGTACTCGACAGGTTTGCAAACTGCCTGGCGCCCACGTTGGAAAAAAGTAAACCCTTCCTTGTCCCGAGAATCGAGGTGTTCCGTTGGACGCTCGTGAATAGGGGGTTCTTTCTAGCAAGAGACATTTATTTTATTTATTTATTTATTTATTTGATTTGCCAATTGTTTACAAGATAATAAGTATAAGTGTATACATAGTTGTGAATACATGAAATGGGTACATATAAGAAAAATAAAAGAAGAATAAGAGAAACAATAGGACAGGGACGGTAGGCACGTTGGTGCGCTTATGCACGCCCCCTACAGACCTCTTAGGAAAGGGGTGAGGTCAATAGTAGACAGTCTAAGGTTAAAGTTTTTGGGGTTTGGGGAAGAAACTACAGAGTCGGGTAGAGTATTCCAGACATTGACCAGTCTATTGCTGAAGTCGTATTTCCTGCAATCAAGTTTGGTGCGGTTTACTTTGAGTTTGTATCTATTGTGTGCTCTTGTGTTGTTATGGTTGAAGCTGAAGTATTCACTGACAGGTAGGACATTGCAATGTATGATTTTATATACCATGCTTAAGTCAGACCGAAGACGGCGTAATTCAAGGTTTTCTAGTTCTAGAATTTCAAGTCTGGTGGCATAAGGTATTCTACAACGAGTAGAGGAGTGGAGAACTCTTCTTGTGAAATATTTCTGGACTTTCTCAATTGTGCTAATATCAGATACGTAATGTGGGTTCCAGACTGATGAACTGTATTCGAGTATTGGTCTAGCAAATGTTTTGTATGCTCTGGTTAGTAGTGTGATATTACCAGAGAAAAAGCTACGTAGGATTAGGTTAACAACTCTTAATGCCTTTTTGGCTATGTAGTTGCAGTGGGCTCTAGCACTTAGATCATTAGAGGTGAGTATTCCAAGGTCCTTTACAGAGCTTGGGTTTTGACATGTTTCCCTTCAAGCAGTGGGTGAAGAACAATAGCTCTTTTATGACTTGGGCTATAACTCCCAGAATTCCTGAGCCCAGCTATTCTGGCTCAGGAATTCTGGGAGTTGAAGTCCACAAGTCATAAAGGGAGCCATCTTTGCCTTAAAGGCTGCGTTTATGGGACTGATATCAGTGTTGGCCCCACGATGGGCTAATGAGATGGTCACCTTGAGCAGAAGATGAGGAGATAGTAGCACGGGGTTAAGAGAAGGGAACCAGCAGCCACAAGACCAGTTTCTTCTAAGCTGGGTTGTGATTTTGTCATTAAAGAAATATTCAACTGCCACTCTATAAAACCATTGGATGTGGCATGGAGAAGGGTCAACATCATCTCACCCTAGAATTCTCAGATTGGCCAATGTCTATGGTGTTATCTTTGGCTCCTGGGACGAACGTTTCATGATCCTTTTTTTAGATGACTCACCTGGTCTGTGGACGCCCATGAAAACATTGCAACATAATTGAACATCCATAAAGGGACACGGTGGCTCAGTGGCTAAGACGCTGAGCTTGTCGATCAGAAAAGGTTGGCAGTTCGAGTCCCTAGCGCCACATAACAGAGTGAGCTCCCGTTACTTGTCCCAGCTTCTGCCAATCTAGCAGTTCAAAAGCATGTAAAAAATGCAAGTAGAAAAATAGGGACCCCTTTGGTGGGAAGGGAACAGCGTTCCGTGCGCCTTCAGCGTTTACTCATGCCGGCCACATGACCACGGAGATGTCTTCGGACAGCGCTGGCTCTTCTTTGGTTTTGTAACGCAGATGAGCAGCGCCCCCTAGAGCCAGAAATGGCTAGCATGTATGTGCGAGGGGAACTTTTATATTTACCTTGAACATTTGACTTCGGTTCCCATTATCCCCAGGAGGTTTTCCAAAGTTTGAGGGAAATTACAGTAGGGTCAGAGCTTCCAATGGGAAAAATATTGAGTTTCATAGTATACAGGTAGGCCTCAGCTTATAAATATTTGTTTAATGACCACTCGGAGTTGTAATGGCACTGAAAAAAGTGACACCCATTTTTAACATGGCCGCTGCAGCATCTCTATCATTACGTGATCAAAATGCAGGCGCTTGGCGTGTATTTATTATAAATACACGCATATTTATGACATGTTCAATGTCCCGGGATCTTGGGATCCCCTTGTGCGGCTTGAGCAAAGTCAACAAGGAAGCCAGATTCACCTAATGGCCATATTGCTAACAATTGTACTCATTCCCTTAACAACTGTGGTAAGAAAAGGTCATAAAATGGGAGGCGAAACTCGCTCAGCAGCTGCCTCGCATAAGAACAGATATTTCTAGCTCAGGTTTTTTTTTTGGTTGGGGATTTTACCTGAAATTTACAGTGAAGAAAAAAACCATATTTAATTATACCTATATTAACAGCAGCTAGAATTGTATTTGCTCAAAATTGGAAAAATGAAAAAAAAAATCCGACAGAGGAAGAGTTGATTATAAAAAATATTTGAATGTGCAGAAATGAACAGATTAACCATGGCAATTAAAGAACAAGAAGAAACGGAATATTCTATGATATGGGATTTATTTTATAAAAGGTTGGAAAAATAATGAAAAGTTAAAATGATTATAAGACAAAATGTATTAAGGTTATTACAATGATAAGATAAATAAGGATGAGTCATTTTTTAATATGAATGTAACTGCGATATTATAGTAAGAAATGTATATTAAATGTGAATATGTTTAAAATATATGTACCCAGATGACACACTGTGAAATTGAAAGGGTAGAGTAGAGTAGAGTAGAGTAGAGTAGAGTAGAGTAGAGCAAACAGAACAGAACAGAAGAACAGAATTCTTTCTTGGCCAAGTGTGATTGGACACACAAGGAATTTGTCTTGGTGCATATGCTCTCAGTGTACATAAAAGAAAAGAGACATTTGTCAAGAGTCAAGAATCATCAGGTACAACACTTAATGATGGTCATAGGGTACAATAAGCAATCAAATCATACTACAGTCCATATAAATCGTAAGGATACAAGCGACAAAGTTACAGTCACACAGTCACAAGTGGGAAGGGATGGGCCATAAGGAGTGATGAGAAGATTAATAGTAATAGTAATGCAGACTTTGTAAATAGTTGGACAGTGTTGAGGGAATTATTTGTTTAGCAGAGTGATGGAGTTCAGGGAAAAACTGTCTTTGTGTCTAGTTATTCTGATGTGCAGTGCTCTATGGCATCGTTGTGAGGGTAGTAGTTGAAACAGTTTATGTGCGGGACGTAAGGGGTCTGTAGATATTTTCACAGCCCTCTTTTTGACTCGTGCAGTATACAGGTCCTCAATGGAAGGCAGGTTGGTAGTAATGGTTTTTTCTGACGTCCTAATTACTCTCTGAAGTCTGTGTCTGTCCTGTTAGGTTGCAGAACCAAACCAGACAGTTATAGAGGTGCTGATGACAGATTCAATAATTCCTCTGTAGAACTGGATCAGCGGCTCCTTGGATATGTTGCGAAATAAAATAAAAATGTATTCCCCCCAAAAAAAGATATTTCGAGCTCAGTTATGGTTGTAAGTTGAGGACTACCTATACTGTGACGGATACAAACTTAAGTGTCCTAAACTAAAGAATGGGCTCCTGTTTCAAATTTCTCTGTCTTATTTTCTCCCCTCAGAGACTCTCTGTGATAATGACGCGACCGCGTCCACCGTTCCTGCGGCCAGCAAATCCATCCCCCTGGCCGCCACCACCGGTACCTCAGAGTCAAATGCCACCGAAGCACCATCTTCTCCCACCATCCAACCGGAGGAGAAACCTGCCTCAGGAAGCTACACGGTCAAATCTGGCCCAGTTACCTGCATTTTGGCAAACATGGGTTTGCAGCTGAACGTCACCCAACAGGTTTAACACATATACTGTCTTGCTTCTTCCTTGGGCAATTGTGGAGTGTTGTGTCACAGCGTTTGAGGCTAATGGCGTCTTACCACAAGGAGATAGAGGAGCTGGCAATCTCTGGGTTTGACTTTTTAACCCCAGTTTTGAGGTTCTCTGAAAGCTTCTCACGAGGAGGTGGCTGAAATTGGGTGGAATATTGCATTAGAAGAGTGGATCTTTCTCCTTTTTATGCTAAAGTTAGAAAAGGAGCGTAGAAAACTTTAATCCTATCCCTAGGGGAAGAAACTGAAAGACTCGTGTTAATCCAGCCCTGGATATTGGCATTAAAAGAAGATTTAAAGAATACAAATTCAGTGTTCTCAGCTGCCAAGAGAATCCTTGCTCTGACCTGACCATTAACAGTTGTATAAAAACAAATTAAAAAATGGATTTTTCAACCCTTTTTTCCTTCCATTTACTATCCTTGCTTGGTTCAAAGACAGGAGCAGGCCAGAGCAGGGAGTTAATTTGTAAACGATTGCTAATTAATGCCCTTTGTTTCAAACCATGCATTCGCCGATTGGTTTTGCTGATTGCACACCAAGCCAGAGCTGCAGTTCAGGTTAAGCATGCAAAAGTTATTAAGGGCACAAATAAAAAGAGCTTTGGTAGCTTTTGGGTGCCCAGCTCACGAGTAGAGGAAGCGTAAATTTTCCCAAATCTCGCCTGTAATGTCTGGGCATCCTGATTCCTTGAGACTATAAGGCGCCTTGCTGATTAATTATGGATGATAGAAGAATAAATTCATTTTAAATCAGTAAGCAAAGGCAACCACAGCTTGGAGGAACGCCCTCCTTTTAGAAATGACTTCCATATTTTTTTTCTCAGGGCAAAAGGTTCTTTTTTTTTTTTTTTTTACCTCGGCTTAATTTGAGTTAATTTTTTGAAAAGTTGGCCGGGTTGATATTTTAATAGAATCTTTATGGTGACATGCTTTGTTTCTTGGTTCTGGCATTGCCCTTAGCCATTGTGCACCTTTTAAAACAGGCTTGGCTGTCTGAGGAATTCTGGGAGTTGAAGTCCACAAGTCTTAAAGTAGCCAAGGTTGGAGACCCCCTATTTTAAAATAAGGTGGGATGTGGGTTTTGGAAAAGATTTTGAGTTCCCCAGATGTCTAAGGAGATTCTCCAGGTCATGGTTGTCCCAAAGGTGCTTTTTTTTTTTAAAAAAAAGAGGCAACTGGACTTTCTGGTTTTTATTTGAAGACGTTTCGCTTCTCATCCCAGAAGCTTCTTCGGCTCTGAGTTCCCCAGAGCAGGGGGTCTCCAACCTGGGCAACTTTAAGGCTTTTGTGTCAGGATTCTTGCAGTTACCCCCAATTAAATCATGAGTCTCGAGCCAAACTTCCAAAACTTCAAAAGGATTTATTGGGAGTTAACATGCCCGGCTCTGCCTGGGTGTAGCCGACTCTGAGACACATCATTCATTGTCACCCTTGACCCTGGTTTTCCTCCCACCCCCTGGGTGTATCGTAATTCATATTCTCCAATGGGACACATCCATAGCCAAGAGTCATCAATCAGGCTCTCCAGTTAGAATTTTGCATGGCAGAAACTTCATTCACCTATTACTATCTTTGAAAAACTATTTATGGAATGCACTTTCGGTTTCCAAGCTGCCACACTGGGCCTTCCCACTCATGAGAGATGTGTACGGTGAGACAGAATCATCCCGCTTCTGTTGGTCAGCCAGGATTAGCCCTGGAGATAATTTTATGAGCTTCAAAGCAAAGATATTTGTGGGTGGAGATTTAAAAAAAAACAAACCAGAAGAAACTCACCTTTAAAAGGGCTAAAATGCTTCTGGTTTTTTTTCCAGACTCCCATGATAAGCAACTTTAATCCAAACAACACGGTGGCCTCTGGTAATTGTGGCAAGACAACCGCTGTGCTTCGGTTGAGTGACGGAAACACTAAAGTTGATTTCCTGTTTGCTGTGGTGAGTAGCAATCAGACTTATATACTGCTTTGTGGTGATTTTACAGCCCTCTCTGAGCAGTTTACAGAGTCATCCTCTTGGCCCCCCAACAATCTGGGCCTTCATTTTACTGACCTCGGAAGGATGGAAGGCTGAGTCAACCTTGAGTCAGTCAGGATTGAACTGCTAGCAGTGAGCAGAATTAGCCTGCAATACTACATTCTAATCACTGCGCCACCATAGCTGTTCCTCCCTCCCCCCTCCATTTCCTTCCTTCCCACTTAGCACTACCTCTTAAACTTATATACAGCTTTATAGTGCTTTCCAGCCCTTTCTAAACAGTTTACAGAGTCAGCCTCTTGGCCCCCAATAATCTGGGTCCTCATTTCCCCCCTCCCCCACGGAAGGATGGAGGGCTGAGTCAACCTTGAGCTGGGATGGATGGAGGGATGGATAGGGAAAGAAGGAAAGGAAAGGAAAGGAAAGGAAAGGAAAGGAAAGGAAAGGAAAGGAAAGGAAAGGAAAGGAAAGGAAAGGAAAGGAAAGGAAGGAGGGAGTCAGGGAAGGGAGGGAATAGAAGGGGAGGGAGGAAAATAGCCATAGCACTTAGACTTACCGTATTTGCCGGCGTATAAGACGACTGGGCGTATAAGACGAGCCCCCAACATTTCCACTCAAAATATAGTTTTTGTTATATACTCGCCGTATAAGACGACCCCCCCCCCCCCACTTGGAGGCATGCTTTTCAGGGCAAAAAAGTCATCTCATACGCCGGCAAATAAGGTAAGTTGTAACACTTGGGGTATTCTGGATATAATTCTTGATTGACACCCCCGCCCCTTTCCCCCAAACTTACAAAGCCACCAAAATGCTTTAGAGAGGCAGCTTCGCCTTTCTCAGGCTGGCACTCAATTCCTCTCCCTTTCTTTGTGACAGCCCCCGCGTGCGTGCCATCGGGACTCCAAGGGTGGGGGGATGGACAGCTGCCAACTCTCTCTCTCTCTCTCTCTCTCTCTCTCTCTCTGTGTGTGTGTGTGTGTGTGTGTGTGTGTGTGGTGTGGAGGGTAATTCCGGCTATCTCTGGCCTCCGCTCGGTTTTAAAGTCGCTTGGCCGGTTCCCAAGTCGCAAGCGCGCGCTGGCCGGGAGACGCGGCGCCGGGTGGCAGCTCGGTGCAGGGGAGGCAGATCTTTCTCTCTTAAGCGGGGAGGGGAGGAGGGGACAAGAGGAGGGACGGGACAGGGGGCGGGAGGAGGTTGCTCGCCTTCTTCCACCGCCCACCGGACCCTTTTCTTCCCAAGGGGACCCTGGAAAGCAGCTCGGGAGCCGGGTGGCCCTGCCCAGCGGGGTCCCATCAGGAACTTCCCGAGGACACCCCCCCCCGCCCCAAGCACAGCCCTCCCGGTCTTTCAAAGAGGGAGGGAGAAGCGGGAGGAGCAAATTGCCGCCCCCCGCCCCGCTGCCCAAAAGGAGGGGTGCCACAGTCCACCCCCACCACCTTCTCCCCCCCACTCCCCGGGCCATTACGCGGCTCGGGGCAAGCTGGGCGAAGCGGCCCCGCCAGAGACTCTCCCGCTCCACCCCCACCCCACCTCCAGATTGGCCTCCGCAAGCGCCCCGAGCCGGGCGGAGGGTGGGTGGGTGGGAGGAGGAGGAAGAGAGACTCCGGCTGGGCTTGAAGGGGCTTCGCAAGTTGCGGAGCTCCGCCCCCGTCGCTCTTGCACCGAGTGACAACGTATTTACCGGCGTATAAGACGACCCCCCCACTTGGAGGCATGTTTTTCAGGGCAAAAAAGTCGTCTTATACGCCGGCAAATACGGTATATATCACTTTACAGTACTTTACAGCCCTCTCTAAGCGGTTTACAGAGTCAGCCTATTGCCCCCAACAATCCGGGTCCTCAATTTATTGACCTTGGAAGGATGGAAGGCTGAGTCAACTTTGAGCTGGGATGGATAGGGAAGGGAAGGGAAGGAAGGAGGGAGGCAGTGAAGGAAGGGAGGCAAGGAAGGAAGGAAGGAAAATAGTTAAGTTTATTGTCATTGCACTTCGTACAACGAAATTAAATGCCATTTACAATGTACATTATGACTATGAAAATAAACACAAACACCCATCCTCCACATTCTATACATTAAATTGTAAACCCCTGATATTGCATTAATATTGCACTATACAGTAGAATTCAACAGAGTCACTGCCCTGGGATAGAAGCTGTTTTTCAGCCCATTCGTCCTTGTTTTTATTATCCTGTACTGTCTGCCAGATGGTAATAGTAAGGAAAAATAGCAATAGCCCTTAGACTTACATACTGTTTCACGGTGCTTTCCAGCCCTCTCTAAGCGGTTTACAGAGTCAGCTTATTGCTCCCAACAATCTGGGTCCTCATTTTATCGACCTCGGAAGGACGAAAGGCTGAGTCAACCTGGAGCCTGGTGAGAAGGCAAATTGCAGGCAGCCAGCAGGCCGCAGAAGTAGCCTGCAGTAATGCACTCTAACCACTGCACCACCAAGGCTCACCACTGGGGCATCTACCAGTTGATGCACCGATTTTATTTATTTAGGTTTTATTTCCCCCTTGCAAATCGATTTACCCTTTCCTGATAAAACGAGAGAAAGCAAGGGAAGCCTTTTCAAGTTTTTGCTGGAGGAAGAAAAGAAGTTCCCCGCCAGTTTTTTTCCAGAATTATTGCTTCAGCCTTAAACGCAGCCACTGCAGGACCATTTTACAGTCTTTCAAAATTGGATCGCTTTCATCAAACCGTGAATTAACAGCCCATTGCAGTATCAGATTACACCCAGCAGCACTGAGATATCCAATTGGGACTTCAGTCTGTTAGGCATTTGTTACATCTACTTCCATGCTAAAGGCATTTGAGTAGGTTGCCTGCTAGGAGCTTGACACCCAAAGTGTCATTTTTCATGGAATGAAAGGGAGGAAAAACGATCCGGTGCAATCAATGAAATTCTGTTGAAACAAAAATGGGATTTATTTTTCCCTGCTCCGCTTTTCAGAGAATTAAGGGTGCTGTAATTCCACCCTCTTTCCCCAGAATAAATAAATAAATTACCATTGTACGGTATGTTTGTGCTGTTAGGAGTAGTGCGGTGGCCAAGAGGTAGAGCTCTCGTCTCGCAATCAGGAGGCTGTGAGTTCGATCCTAGGTAGGAGGTAGGTATTTCTCTCACTGGGCGCGAGGAGAATATATCTGCTGAACAAAACTCCTCATTGGTGACAGGAAGGGCATCCGGCACCAGAATAAATAAATAAATAAATATAATTGAACGGTATGTTTGTGCTGTTAGGAGTGGTGCAGTGGCCTAGAAATGGAGCTCACAATTGCCTCACAATTAGGAGGCTGTGAGTTCAATCCTAGGTAGGAGGTTGGGCACAATGAGAATATATCCACTGAACAAAACTCCGCATTGGCGACAGGAAGGGCACCTGGCCAGTAAAACACCCTGCTAGCTCCATTCAGTTGCCTAGATTCCACCCTGCAAGGGATTATGGGGTCGTTAAATGTTCGTGCTGTTAGGTTTCCCCTGAAAAGTATTCTCTGTAAAAGTATGTCCGTTGTATATGTGTTAATTGGTGTTTCGTTTTGTGAAACAGAAAAATTCGACCTCTTCAGAAAAATTCTATCTGAAAGGAGTGGATATCACTGTGGCGGATTCACCAAATGGTAAGAGAGGTTTGGTCACTGACAGCCTACTGCAGGTAGTCCTCAACTTACAACCGTTTAGTGACCATTGGAAGTTACAATGGCGTTGAAAGAAAAGGGACTTACGGCCCTTTTTCAAACTTACGACCGCTTGCAGCGTCTCCACTGTCGGGTGATCAAAATTCAGGCGCTTGGCAACCGACTCGTATTTACGACGGTCTCAGTGTCCCTGGGAGGGTCACAAGATCCTCTCAGATTCACTTAACAACCAGGTTACTCACTTAACAACTACAGTGATTCCCTTAAACAACTGTGGCAAGAAAGGTCATAAAATGGATCCAAACTCGCTTAAAAGGTGTCTCGCTTAACAGAGATTTTGGGGCTCCACACGACAGCCGTACGTTGAGGACTACCCTGTAGAATGTTTTTGCTTTGTGTTTTGAACAAGAGGTTTCTGTCAGCCCACCTGTCCATAAAAGGGGCTGACTTTTTATAATTTGTGTCAGGATTCTGGCAGTTACCCCGCATTTAAATCATGAGTGTCAAACCAAACTTCCAAAATTTCAAAAGGATTTATTGGGAGTTAACATGTCCAGCATTGCCTGGGCGTAGCCAACTCTGAGACACATCATTCATTGTCACCCTTGACCCTGGTTTTCCTCCCACCCCCTGGGTGTATCATAATTCATATTCTCCAATGGGACCCATCCATAGCCCAGAATCATCAATCATGCTCTCCAGTTAGAATTTGTGATGACCCAGGGATACAAAATAAACACAGTCACAAAAACAGGTGAAGCCCCTTTTATTACTTCACTTTGCTTCCAAGCTCCAAATATCCTTGACTGGAGACAAAAAAAAAACTCCCCCACAAACAATTACGGAAAGGAGGAAATGCCATTTAAACTAAAAATGCCTATAAATTATAAAGAGTAAAAACAACCCAAACCACACTGAAGCAATTAAGGGAACCAGGCAAGATAAGGGCTTGAAGACGTCCACAGATATCGGAACACACACTGGGAAGGACGCCAAACTCAGAGAGGAACGACAGACTAGAGATATTTCCACGCTTTGTTTCCAGCACTGGCCCATACGCATGTCCGTCCTTTTAACCAGTTCTCACAGCTGCAGCCCATGAAGAGGATCAAGGCCCTCTCCTCCCCCTGTAGACCATGCCATTCATGTCTCTCCCGTAACCTCTCCTCCCTGTGTGCCCTAGGATGGAGAAGAGATGGCCTGGGTCTTCCTCGGACTGCCCAGCCGGCCTCTGCTCTTCCCCAGGCTCCTCCACAACCTCTCCACTCCCTGTCGGCCGTTCCTCCTCTCCCTCGGAGTCAGTCTCCAACAGGGGCATGAGAGAATTTTGCAGTGGCAGAAACTTCAGTCACCTAGTTACTATCTTTGAAAAACTATTTACGGAATGCAGTTTCGGTTTGCAAGCTGCTGCACTGCTCTCCCTTCCCTTTCTGTTGGTAGCTCTAAAAAGACCATAGAAATATGTTATGAGTTGACAGTTTGCACTTCTTTAACGAAAAATATTTTGCAAGAAATCCTCCAACAGAGAACGGCACAAACTTTTGTCAGGATATTGACTCTGAGAAGGATATGGTTAACTGTCTTTCCTCACCCAGTTCCTAAGGTCAATGAGTCACCAGCAAAACAGAAAACCAAGAATTAGGTTGGTTGGAGAAAGTAAACATCACTTGAAATTGTTTCCCAAAAGGCACCCCCAGCAAAAATGCCTTTTTGTTTTTGTTTTCAGTGCTTCATTTGACTCTGGTTTCTTAGAGATCTGTTTGGTGCCTTTCTTTTAATAAGCAGACAATGGTTACTTAATAATGACGCAAACAAAACACAAGTGGTTGGTTGCTTAAATGTGTATCAAGCAACTCAGTTAGCCATGGACAATATATTGAGCAACTCATATGCATTTGAACAAAAAAGAAGCGGTTAGAGGTGTTTATTGAATAAAACAACTCCCTAGAAACATGACCAGGTTATCTGAGAATCTTTTTCCTTGACTCTGTTTTTTTTACAGTGGACAACCAGAAATGCATAAACCCCCCTCTTGCAAAACTGGTGTATGGTAAAATATAGCACCCGCTATTGTATAAAGAAAGCAGGTGGTTAAATATAGAGAGAGCCACTTTGATCTAAGGGTTGTAACAAGCTAGAAAGCCAAAGGCTGTCCCACCTTAGGCATGAAAGCCAGCTGGGTGACTTTGGGCCAATCTCCAGGAGACAGTGAATTCTACTGTCGCCTTAAACCTGAAAGCCAGTTGGGTGACTTTGGGACCAATCCTCTCTCAGTGCAACTCACCTGACAGGGTGGTTATTGTGGGGAAAATAAAAGGAAGGAGTATTTAATTTCTTTGCTGCCTTTTAATTGTTTATCTTTAAAAAATAAAGCCGGGATATAAAATTTAAAATAAATGAAAACAACACATTATTGCCAGCCAAGCTCATCTACCATCTTGTTCCTCTTCAGCTACCATTTCAGCCTCAAATCACACCCTCAACAACTGGGAAACCACCATGGGGAACTCATACCTGTGCCGAAAAGAAGAATCGATCCTGGTGAGCCCTGGCTATAAAATAAACATCTTTGATTTAAAGATCCAGCCATTTGAAGTGGAAGAAGGGCAATTTTCAGCAGGTAAGAAGAAAAAAGCCAAGGAAGATTTAGGACTCTTCCATCTAAAGATTCAAGGGACAAATGTCTATGCAGATTATTATTCATCCAGGTCATGGTTGACATTTTTTTGTTTGTTTGTTCAAGAGGCAACTGGACTTTCTGGTTTTTTTCTTTTGAAGACATTTTGCTTCTCATCCAAGGAGCTTCTTCAGCTCTGACCGGATGGTGGGGAATGGAAGGATTGATACTCCTTGCAGACAGCTGGTCATTTGCATCCTTTTAGCAAGTCATTGAGGCCTCTTGGAGGTTTATCTGTGTCCTCAGGGCCACCTGGGTGGTGCAAATGAGAGTGGAGCCTTCTTAGAACTGCTTGAAAGGACTGTGTTGTAGACTGGAGATAGATGAAGTTGTATCCCTGTCCCTCTGTTGAGAGAGGGCTGTTCAATTTTGATCTAGATGACCTCTTTGACCCCTCTTTCTAGCCAGCGATGCTCTCTATCCAAAATGCGGACTTTGCTGTCTTCAAAAGAGAGCGACCTTTTGTCTTTTAAATGCAGAACCTAGTCCAGATGAGTTGGTTTTCCTATGTTGTGCCATGCATTTATTCCATTCCCCACCATCCGGTCAGAGCTGAAGAAGCTTCTTGGACGAGAAGCCAAACGTCTTCAAAGAAAAACCAAGAAAGTCCAGTTGCCTCTTGGGTTGGGAGGGAAGCACCTTTGGGACATCGAAGGGACAATCCAATGTGGAAACACCTAATCCTCAGCTTACAACCAAAACCAGAGCCAAATTTCTCTCGCTAAGGAGGCCGTTGTTCAAGAGAATCGAGCCCGATTTTGCAACCTTTTTTGCCTCACTGACTTTCCTTGTTTAGAAGCCTCCTGGGAAGGCCGCAAGTGGCCATCACATCACCCCAGGACGCTGCAATCCTCACAAATACGTGCCGGTTGCCAAGCGACCATATTTTGATCATATTCTGGGGGTTCTGTGACAGTCGTACGTGCGAGAACCCGTTCTGAGCCTCTGTTTTCAAAATCGTGGTTGTAACTTCAAAATGGCGGCTGAAGGAATGGTTGTAATTTCAGGATGGCTTCCAGTCCCCAAATTGCATGAGCCAGAATGGTTATTGCTAGAGAATAGATAAAACTAACAATAACAATAAGAGTTTATGCTGTGACAACAGCTTTGGGGTATATATTGAAAGAGGAGTGCATTTCATAAAGGGTAGAGAAACTGATATATCTCATAGAAAACCGTAGCCGGTTCCTTTAAAAATCAAGATTTCTGCTGTGAAAATACTTGGGGTTAATTTTCAAAGAATTTTCAAGTACACTTATGTCCTTCTTCTCAAAACATTGAATATCTTTAAAAAAAAAAAACTTAAGAACTTCTGACTCTTTAGCCTCTTCATCTTAAAACAAATTTATCTTAAGATAAACATACTTGTAAATGCTATAAAGGTAGTTTTGTGTTGAATTAAGTTTATTTTGAATGTCTCATAATCATCTTTTTTGGAGCCAAAACTTTTCAGATGATGAACAGGACTGAGAGAAGATTGACTTGAAGCCTGAATTGGCCTCTTAATCTAAATTTTTGATCATTTTTTCCCCCACCATTCTTTTAACCCAACAAATGTTCAGGGTTTTTTAAATATGTATATATGTGTGTGTGTGTGTGTTTTATGAAAGTTGCATCACCTTTAAGCATCTATGGAAAATTTTAACCTAAAAGCTGGTAAGTTGGCATGCAAGAAAGCCAGAATATTCCCAAGATACTTGCGGAAGCAACCCCGTAACTTAGAAAACGATGTCAGATTTCACAAGGTTTTGATGTCCTCATGATAAGAGCATATAAAACTTCTAGCCGGAATGCCAACATCTTGAGGGAGAAACCATGATATTAAAAGAAAAGTTAATGAAGAGTTCTGGTGGAATTTTAGCCATTTTTGAGATTCTGGCCAGATTTAATTTCAATCATTGGCAAAAAGGCCATCTTGACGTCTTCCAAATTGGTCATCTGTTCTTTTTTTTTTTTTTTTTCTCAATTCCCATGGAAAATGTTATGAAGGCATCTCTTAAGATGAATTCTCTAAATTAGGTTTGTAATGTCTGCGTGAAGACCGACTCTCTAGGTTCTCTTTTCAGCAAACATCTTTTGATTTGCATTCTTTCTTTTTGTCACCCCCTTTCTCATCTACAGCGGGAGAATGTTTGCAGGATGATGACACTGTTCTAATCCCAATTGTAGTTGGAGCTGCCCTTGCGGGCTTGGTTGTCATAATAGTGACCACTTACTTAATTGGCCGAAGGAAAACTTACGCTGGCTATCAAACCCTGTAGGGCCTGGTGGTTTGACTGTTCTTCGATCTTAAAAGCCCGTTTCCCACATGGAAGCCAACTGTGTAAAACTTGTGAGATTCTATTTAAAAACGGGGAGCTCCTTCTCCCCTGAAACTCAACCAACAACTGATCTCATCTCATTGTAAGAAGGACTTGCAAACTGCGTCGGAGAGCTTAGGAATGGCCAAACTCAGACCTGAAATGAAACTTTTAAAACTTGAAATAGGGTTAATGTAGAGCTGTACCAGTCAGTCAGTAAATAAGTAATTCTTGAAAAGAGGGTTAGTTTTAACCAGGGTCCATTTAGGTTGTTAAAGCAATAGGAGTGCAAATCAAAGCATTTGCTAATTCTATGTTGTGTACAAACGATGGTTAACCTAGGTGCCATAACAACTGTAACCTGGGAATCTAGGCCTATCTACAAAGTTGTTTTCTTTCAGCATATGACGTCAAACAAATCCATTGGGTTAACTACTTCAGCCTGAATAAGCTTAATGCATTCTTTTTTCTTTCTCTCTCTCTCTCTCTTTATCAATTTGGTAGCAGTGACTAATTCCGAAACTCCACTTGGCTCTTTGAGACTTAAAATAACACAATAGCAACATTTTTAAATATTGGAGGAGTGGGTATCCCTGGATACTTACATGTATGGTATTCAGCTTTGTTCGGGTATTTTCCCACGTCATTATAGTTGTGCTTTTAAAGTTGTAGCAACGTTTCGGCAGAATCTCATCTGCCGTCATCAGGCTTCTGTATAAACGAACACAATACAGAAGCCTGATGATAGCAGATGAGATTCTGCCAAAACGTTGCTACAACTTTAAAAGCACAACTATAATGACGTGGGAAAATACCCGTTTCGGCAGAATCTCATCTGCCATCATCAGGCTTCTGTATTGTGTTAATCTGTGATACTGTATACTCACAGATGAACACTATACAGAAGCCTGATGATGGCAGATGAGATTCTGCCGAAACATTGCTACAACTTTAAAAGCACAACTACAATGACGTGGGAAAATACCCGAACAAAGCTGAATGCCATACATGTAAGTACCCGCGAAAACTTAAGAAAATATATACACAGAGAGAGAGAGAGAGAGAGAAACATTGTCGTTTTAAGTATCCTTAGTTTGCATAGGAGATGTCCCAGGATTTAAATTCCTCTTCAGCTGAAGGACTTACTTATTATGAGCTGGGTGCAAATAGAAGACAGGCATTGTTTAAAGAAAAAACAGTTTGCACTTTTTGTATTTGCAGCTATGTGTAAATGGATCTGAGGATCTTAGCCTCAGAAAGTTGTTCCTTTGAAGTGCCTGTAGAATGTTAGCGCATAAATTCCCATTGTAAGCCTTCTTAACAAAAACAACATGCAAAGGGCTACTGTTTAAGGTTTTATTTTTTTCTGATAATGCAAAGGCCACAAAAGATTGTTAAGCCAACCTCATAGCAGTGGGCTTCTCTGCCAGTTAAACCACTTTCACAACTGGATCTTAAAGGTACTTTCAGTGTACTAAAACTCCCTACTTTACAAACAATTAAGTGAGCAGTAGCTCTATAATGATGCCTATTCTAAAAATGAAGAGGATAAAGTAATCCTACCCTTAGTTTAATGCAGGGGTCTTCAAACTTGACAGTTTTAAGACTTGTGGACTTCAACTTC